TATAACGGAATACTAAGCTTGATGGGATGAAAGGCCGCTGGGACCCCGCATGGTCGCATTGTCACGTGATGGGGATTAGGCCTAATCGGGCGCCGAGCTTAATCCGACGTCGAGTCTAATCGGGCACCGGGCCTCGGCTCGGTCGGGCGCTTGAGCCTAACACCCCCTTTCATCCCATCAAGCTTAGTATTCCGTTACATAGCAGTTTGCAACGCAGAGAGTTTCCTTCTTATGCAGCTCGCATTCGCACCCTAACAATAAGTTTAGTTACTAATAATAGTTAATAATTAACATGTATTAAAATAGAAAAGAAATTATTAAAAGAAATAAAATTAAATAATATAAAAAAATAAACTCTTTTTTATAAAAAGTAGAGATTTAATATAAAAACTAGTATTTTTGTAATAAAAATTATATAATTAAAATTATATTAAATAGAAATAAAGATACTGCTTTAATAATACTAATTTTTAATAATATTGTTTTAATAATACTTTTATAGTATAAAGATATAATTTGAATATTATTGAGATTAAAATATAGTTTTTTATAAATTAAAATATATAATTATATTCAATTTAATAATTATATAAGTAAAAATAGTTAAATATTTATTTAATATAAATTAAATAAATATTATTATAATATAAAATAATTGAAAATTATTTTAAATATCATATATAAAAATTATATAATTTTTTATATTTGAAAATAATTATAAATATAAATTTATACATTTATTTAATATTTTATTAAAATTTTCAATTTATTATATTATATTATTTTTTTTATTTTTTTATTTATTATTTATAATATATTAAATATTTAATTTATTAAAACTATTATTATTAATTATTAAAATTTTAAATTTTTTATATTAAATTATACTTTAAATTATATTTAAATTTAATTAAATATTAATTTATAGTTTAATATAAATAAAAATAAATAAATATAAAAATTTTAAATATTTTTTAAATTAATAATTTATAATTTAAAATTTTTTAATAATATTTTAATATTTTAATAAATTTATAAATATAAATATTACTCTATAATTATTTTATTATTATATTATAAAAATAATTTAATTATTATTAATTTATATCTATATATAACAGCTAGTAATGATATTTTTTTCTCTTTTACTATAATTATATAAATAAAATTAAATAATAAAAAATTAAAAAAGTAAATATAATAATAAATATTAAATAAAAAAGTAAAAAAACTATATATATAAATTTAATGAAAAGAGAATAAAAAAAATAACTATTTTATTTTATAATTATAAAAACATTAGTATTTCAATATAATATAAATATAATTCTTCAGTATATTGCTTATATATATTCTTAATGTAAAAATAGTTTATAATATATTTAATTATTTATTATTTATTATTTATTGTTTTTTTATTTATTTTTATATATTTTTATATATTTTGCATGGTTATTGTGAATTTTAATTGTAAAATTATTAAATAATGAAATGAACTAACTAGAAGGTGGTGGATTTTTAATGGTTAACTCATTTTAAAAATCAGTGATAGTTGATAACTACTTCACACATTTCAAATAAAAGTCTTTAAGCTTAATTCAGTCTTCTATAACATCAGGTGTCCATCGGTTCCATCTCCCCGGTCGCTTGTATAACCCGTTCGTAACGCAGCCAATTTCGAGTATGTCTCCGTCTCACTCGAGTTTCAAACTGCACTCAACACTTATGCAACTACTGTTATCGTCAAGCCACCGGCAACTCTGCTTCTTTGCGTCTTTGCCGGAATCTCGCTTTAGCTCCGGCTCTGAGGTCATAGCTCCATCTTGATTCTCTCCATTCATTCGCTATTCTCTGGTGACTCCGGATCACCTCGACCGAAGCTGTCTCCACCCCAAATCATCCCAGCCGAACCAGGCAAACTAGATGTCATCGAGATAACTAGACGGAGCACGAAGTATTAATAAACGACTTGCCTCCCCCCAATAAATAACTAATATCTCAAATATGTTTGGTTCGTGGTCTCGCTAATATCACCATATTTTGACCTGTTGATTGATGTCATTGAGAAACTTCTAGTGAATTCAACATTGAACATACTACCATAACTACATCTGCCCTGGTTCTTGCTGCGAATCTCACATGTTTATACATTCCTAAAATTCCCTACACTTGCACTCATTTATATTATTTATTTTTAACCCAAAGCTCTTTCGTTCGACTGTTTAGCTATTTTGTCAGCTCCACGGAAACTTATGTTGGTCTCAACCCGTCCGTCACCCTAGCCTTGGTCAACGCATTTACCGTCACAAACTATGGCCTCGCGATTAGCTGCCGCACGCTACGGCAAGGACAATGTCCGCGTCTACAAGGTGTATCGTAACGAGGTGACTGGCGCCCACACCGTGGTCGAGATGACAGTCTGCGTACTGCTCGAAGGTGAAATCGAGTCATCGTAAGCCCCAATCCAGACAATCTGCTTGGTGTCTATGAAAAGAATGAGAAGCCAACATTTGGCAAAACAGCTACACACAGGCCGACAACAGCGTCGTCGTCGCCACAGACTCAATGAAGAACACAATATATATCATGGCCAAATTACACCCCGTCACACCACCGGAACTCTTCGCCTCCATCCTCGGCACCCATTTCGTCAAGACATACAAACACATCCACACCGCCCACGTCGACATCATCACGCACCGCTGGACCCGCATGACCATCGACGACGAACCGCACCAACACTCATTTCTCCGCGATGGGACAGAAACCCGCAACGTCTCCGCAACTGTCACCAAAGGCACGGGAATAACACTCACCTCCGCCATAGCAGGCCTCTCCGTTCTAAAATCCACTAACTCGCAATTTCACGGCTTCATCCGAGATGAGTTCACCACTCTACCTGAAACATGGGACCGGATCCTGAGCACGGATGTCGATGCCAAGTGGACGTGGACAACATTTGCTTCCTTGGAGGATGTGAAAGCCATTGTGCCTAAATTCGACGAAACCTGGGATGTAGCTAGGGATACAACGCTACGTGTCTTTGCGCAGGATAATAGCGCCAGCGTGCAGAATTCTATGTATAAGATGGCAGAACAGATATTGGAGGCGCAACCGTTGTTGAGCTGTGTGGAGTATTCGTTGCCCAATAAGCATTATTTCGAACTGGGTATGTTTGATCGTTTTAACTTTTATACATGTATATATGTATGTATATTTCTAGTGTTCCGATGCTAACCCCCTCGCAGATCTGAGCTGGTACAAGGGCCTCAAGAACACAGGCAAAGATGCAGAGGTTTACGTGCCTCAGTCCGGACCGAATGGACTCATCAAATGCACAGTTGCACGCAGGGAAAGAGAACGTCGGGAGACGCCGAAGTTATAGGTAAAAGACCTGGGTAAGACTCTAGAATTGATACTATAATTTCTTCTTCCACAATTGTGGCTTATAGTATGGACTGTGGTGGAATTCTGTAAAGCTGTCGTGTTATCTTTTTTCCATTTTGATTTAGTTGTTATGCATTCATAGCCGTGGGCTTTGTGGTGTTATTCCTAAACTTATCAGAACACAACCCACTCTAGATGGCATGAGTTTAGAGATAAGAGAACAAATTCAAGCGATTGTTATTATCTTCAAAAATAATAAATAAATAAATGAAAATAAATTACACCTTGTCAATTGCATACATGCTAGAAGTGTACAGTACAGCAAGTCTTAAAAGAAAACTAGCCAGCCCCAAAATTCATACTCCCTGTATGCAAGCAAACAAAAATAGTGAAAAACAATGACATGATAATGACAGTTCAAGGAGAGCAAGATTTAAATCAGGTAGATTAAGCTTGAGCCTTCTCCTCTGACACCCCCTTCTCTTTCGCAAACGTCTCCTTAACCAACGGCGAATCCGCAATCGAGGTCTGCGGCCCCAACACACTCCTGCCGCCCAATTTCAGAATATTCTTCTTATACGGATGCGCATGGCCCTCAAACGCTAATGTTCAACTTATTAGCCCTTTGCTCCCTATAACCACCAGACACCTCTCAAACACGAACGAAAATGGTGTTCAACAAGCAGCACAAACTCACCTTTCAACCTAGCCAACCTCTTTTCCCTCAACCGATTCTTCGGTAACATCCCTCTAACGGCTTTCCTCAATACCTCCGCACCCCCCCACTTCTCAAACATCTTATCCCATCGTCATCGACTTCAGGCTCCCCGGCCGCGTATTATGCGTATAGTACATTTTCTGAAACCGCTTTTTGCCAGTTGTGTAGAGATCATGGCATCCGACGGCAACAACGTAGTCACCGCAGTCATTCGAAGGGTCCCAGATAGGCTTGTGCTTGCCCATCAGGAATATGGCGATGGAAGAGGCGATGCGGCCTAAGCTGCGTGGGTCACTGCCGACGTCTATGTAGTGCCATGTTCGCGAGAAGGCGAGGCGAGTCTGTGGGAGATACGTTAGCGAATTGCTGAGCGTCTTGTTTTTTACTCTGGAGGCAATGAAATTACCCGTCCAACGGTCTGCGACATTGTGGTATATAGCTATCGATTCATGGGCGGATCGTAGAAGGAAATAGGTGGAGCCGGAGAGATTGGCAGGGTAACTCCCTGAGGATATAGGAGTCAATTGGTTATCTCTGCAATTGACGAGAACAAGGGATATCGCTAATTACAACTGTATATAAATATATCCACCCCGTATTTTGTTATTGTTATATTGTTCCAGCCCTTGGTGTCGTCGTTTGGTCGGCCTCAACATCAAACTTGACATATCATCACGTGATTTAATACCCTAGCACTCACTAAGCGAAGTCGCACATCTGATTATTAAGAAACTGCCCAAGGGAAAAAAGGGAAGAGCCGCGACGACGCCGACAAACACACGACCAACGACAACTTCTTCGCTTTTTCTTTGCTCTCCCTCTCCCGTATCACTCTCTCAGGGGCCATTATCTCCGGCTGTTTAATCAATATGGCTACTACGCAGAGTGTGCAATGCTTCGGCAAGAAGAAGACGGGTATGGGAAAGTCTCTCTATGCGTTTGTTATATGACAGGGCTGGTGTTGGATTTGTTGCTGATATTGAGACTTTTTTAGCTACTGCGGTCGCCCAATGCAAGGTACGAATCGATAGTGATGTTCTGTTAAAATTACTGGGTTTGAGGAAATTTGGGGTTTGAGGACTTTTGGGTTAAGAAAGATTGAGGATTTGAAGTTGCGAGATTTGGTATCCCGGGATATCTAGGGATATAGGGATATAGGGCCACTAGAATATTGTGGCATTCATGTCGGATATGACAAACACAGCTGACTAGTGTGGAATTGTGAAATATAGGCAGGCAAGGGCCTCATCAAGGTTAACGGCCAACCTCTGGCTCTCACACAGCCGGAAATCCTCAGATTCAAGGTTAGACTCACCCTTCTCCTCTTTTATCGTTAAGATTGATTTTGGGGCATATGAGACGGGGGAAACAAGGTAGATGGAAGACTAAGGAATATTGCGCTCATGACACATCCCATGAAAAATTTCAGGTCTACGAACCCCTCCTTATCGTCGGCCTTGACAAGTTCGCCGGTGTCGATATCCGAGTCCGCGTTACCGGTGGTGGTCACACTTCCCAGATCTATGCTATCAGACAAGCCATTGCCAAGTCGATAGTCGCCTACTACCAGAAATACGTCGACGAGCACGCCAAGAACCAGCTCAAGCAGGCCCTCGTCCAATACGACAGAACCCTCCTCGTGGCTGATAACAGACGGGCTGAACCAAAGAAGTTCGGTGGTCCAGGTGCTCGTGCTCGTTACCAAAAGTCTTACCGTTAAGCAAAGTGGGTGTGTTGGGGTTTTGTTGTCGTGCGGGGGTGGGAGATGGAAAAATCGGGTTTATTATATTTTTTGGCTCGGGTGGATTGCCAAAGACGGGACCTAGCATTTATCATGCTACAACTGCTAGGGAAGATAGAATAGGGCCATTTCTTTTCCTTTTTTACCAGTTAAAATTTCAATTTCCTTCCATTTGTTCAAATAACCGTGAAATTCAGGTGCTCTTCCCATGTTCTGAAGTGATGTGATTACGGACACAATACCACATTTTTACAGAATTTACAGAGGTGATCAGTGTTGGATCAAGTCTCCTACAACTTTGAATTTGCGCCGTGGACGGAAAAAATATGCGAAATTTGGTATTTCTAACCTGATAATCTACTGCAAATTGACCTCAGGCATATCTGCATCTGGCACAAAATCGCCGTCTTCGTCTTCGTCCGCTGCCTCTTCCAACACCTTTCCCAGGCTGGTACCTTCTCCAATGTCAATGATAACAGGGGCATACTCTCCAATCTCCTCGTCCTCCTCCGTCCCCTTAACTTCCAACTCCACATTCTCTCCATCCTCCAACTGCATCATCCCCTCCCTAACCGTCCGCCCTTGTCTGATTTCCCAATCATACTCCCTCTTAACCCAATCCTCCAACAAATCCAGCTCCCTCCTAACCATACCAACAGCTCCACCACCTTGCTCTTCTTCAATATCCTGCACCGTCTTCGAAAATCTCATAAGCAACTTCCTCAACAACGCTCCACCGTCATCACCGTCCATCTCAAACAGTCCCCCTTCAACATCATCGAAATGTCTCAGCTGGCACCGTAATAGGCGCAGCACGCGCACGAAGAATGCTTCCCGTTCCCGCACTGCAGTGCGACAGGTCAAGAGCAATCCGAGCAGCCGTTTCCACTGTTCCAGACACGAGAAATTCATCAATGTAAGAACCATTAGAAACGTAAATTGTAGCTCTCCTAAGATCTGAGCTTCGCCTTGCTCTTGCCTCCCCCTCTCGCCAATAATTGCAGGTGTTGAAGCCTTCATTGCTGGCACAGAGGTAGCTGTAGTTGTAGTTGCATCATCTACGGATCCATTCACATCTCCAAACCTCCACACCAAATCCCCCAACGCCCACGAGCGATCCTGTGCCGCCTCCGTCCGTTCCCTCCCAACCGCACCAACCCGCCATGTCCGCTTCAAATCCACAGGTAAAAATCTAAATTCCCTTTCTTGCTCGCTAGCTGCCCCACTCATACTTGCAGTCGCGTACACACTGGCTATCTCCGCAGCAGTGAGGCCTGGGATATTATCTCGATCACGGGCTGCGGAGCTGCCTGACGACACGGTCCAGCGGGGGAGGTGTGTGTTCGTTGTGGAATTGTTGCTGCTGGGAACATGGGCATTGGTTGATGCAGCAGGACCCAAAATGCGCGAGAGAACAGAAGGCGATATGTAGTCTGTGAGCTGTCGCCAGTCGGTTGTCAATTCCTCTGGCGCATCTTGCCGTATTTGCGGTTGATGTAGGGTTAAGTCCACATCACTTTCAATACTATGCCCCTGCGGTTGTTGGCGTGGGTGTCTCTGCGACCCCACCCCCCGAGCTCGATCATATGCCAACAACCCCCCGCTCCGCCATATCCGCCCCAGATTTGCACGTAATCGCATCGCCTCCGCTCTGCCCTCTTCACACCCCTCATCAATAGTTACGAGAGCTTCAGTTTCCGCATCCCATTTGCGGAGGCGGATATCTATATCTGCCGTTGCACCGTTAATATTTCCGCCACTGGCGCCATGACGATCTTGAATGAAGAACCACTCCCCGCTACGGAGAGAAAAGCTCTCTGTTGTACCAGTGTAGAAGAAGTGAGGTCCAGGTGGGAGATTGTTTATGCCGTGGAAGTTTGGGGTGGAGTTGAAGGAGAGGAGGTCGATGCCGATGAGAGTTTTGGGAGGGAGGGAGGTTAGGAGGAGGGTTGGAGTTGGGGTGTTGGAGATCATTTTGATTTAAGGAACTGGCAGGGTTTAGAGAGGGGGGGAGGGAGGGATGAGCATTGGGGTTGGGGGGTTGGGGGTTGAGGGATTGGATTTTATGGAGATATGGAGATGAGAGAGTTGGACAGGAAATAGAGGGAGCTGAGGAAATCCTCCTTAACTTTTTAAAGGATGTTCAGGTCACGAATAAATATATACCTATACTAAGATATGCGCCGGCATAGGGAATAACATCTGGTATAAGATGGAATCAAGATGAGCGCTGCGAGAGCTCCGTAGCGATTCTTACATCGATAATTGAGTTCCAAAATTGGGGTTTTAGCGGGCAAAACTTTGGTGAGTAAAACCCAGCTACTCTATTCTACATAAAATTTACTCGGTTACTCACAAACAGAATTCTGAGACATCTCAATTGTAAGATAAGATCTCCATTGCATTAATAGATTGTCAAGAGACCCCTTTGTTAACATAACCGTCAAACTGTAGTCACAAATGATGGGACGCAGCAGATTTGTCCAGCCAGGGAAAATGCTATTATATGAACAAAATCCACAAGGAAAGAAGACCAGGCAATACCGCCGTTCTTCGCGTTTATTCCATCCACATATGCAAACAGATACCCGGAGATACCCGCGCAATCCATCCTTGCTCCACGCGCAATAGCAGCATTGCCATTCTGCTGGAGTATAAAAGGCAGACAGCCTCATCCGGGCACTTACAACCGACGACCGCGGCGACCTCCCTTCCGGCGAGTGGAGTCAGAGGGAGTGGGAGTTACGTCCTCGATCCTGCCAATGCGCATGCCAGAGCGGGCAAGGGCGCGGAGGGCAGACTGGGCACCGGGGCCAGGGGTCTTGGTTCCGTTACCTATTGATCCGTGGTGCTTAACATTCGTTTCCATCAAATTATATGATTTCTAAAGAATGTGTCGCGCAGTTACATACCACCGGTAGCACGGATCTTGATGTGGAGAGCATTGATTCCCAATTCCTTACAGCGAGCGGCAACGTCTTGGGCAGCCAACATAGCAGCGTAGGGAGAGGACTCGTCACGGTCAGCCTTGACCTTCATACCACCAGTGACGCGACAAATGGTTTCGCGACCACTGAAATCACCAGGAACATTAGCCTTCTATCTCATGTATCTGGCGGCCCCTCAAGGCGACATCATATGGGTATTGTCTGTCGAGTTGGCCATGGGGACCGGAAATGGATCGTCTTCAACAAAATAGAGGCAGATAACGGCACGAACCTGAGATCGGTAACGTGGACGAAGGTATCGTTGAATGAGGCAAAGATACGGGCGACACCGAAAACGAGTTTTCCTGCGATTTGATTAGTATGCTTCTGGTTTCATTCCGCACCACAAAAGCAGTTCCAGAAACCAATTCACGTACCATCTCCGGCCAGAGGTCCAAGAGAGATGTTCTCAGTAGCGGGACGTTCAACCTTCTTCTTGGGAGGCATTTTTGGGCGTGATGGATGGTCGGATGTGGTGGATGGTGAAGAAGAGAAAAGAACAATACCAAGCAAAATCAATTTGCTGCTATTAGTTCGAGATGCCAAATACGGAAATCGAGTGCGTGTGCCCTAATAGGATTAGGGTTTGTTAAATGATGCCCTATATTTCCTAATCAGGATAACAGCTGAACTGAGCAAGTGTTATTAGATAAGCGATGTTCCAGGTTTAGCGTCGATTTGCTTCTGCGGCTTTAAATAATTTCGTTCAACTCAATGATTTTCTGATCTTCTTTAATGTCTGTCTCTACAGCAGACGGTGCAGGATCCCACAACAGATGCAGACGTTTACTTCCATGACTGTACTCTGTGGGGTTGCTGTTCGAGTCGTGTGTTCTTCACTGGACATCTGTATTTGAGTTCACCGTTGATTCTCCTATAGTTACTCTTCTACTTGATGCAAAATCCATTCCCAGCAACCTAGGTGCCGACATTTGGCAACCAATTACCTGCTAACAATACAACAAACATTCAATTCCTCAGTGATGGCATCTGCAATGGACACAAGATCCATTGGGATCATTGGCATGGGCGACATGGGCAAAATGTATGCCCAGCGGTTGAGTCAGGCTGGCTGGAGGTAATACCATCCATCTTTTCTCAAATCTCCTGCTTGAATTTCAAGCGACGCTTTGGGTAATATAACCTATGGTAAGCTCTCTTCATTTTCTATTTGCGCCTCCTTTCTATCTGCCCCTCTTATATGATGACTTGAGTGCATTTGGCTCGAGTATGACCTGTGAGTTTTTCACGATCCCGCCATTCTGGCGTGTGGTGAGCTTTTGGGTTGTCGATGATGTGAACTCCTCGCTACCTTAACATTTTCTTTGTCTGAAAATATTTTCTACATTTTGCAAGATCTTTCCCTAGCTCTGAAGTTGCTTGCGCAGTGTGCTAAACTTCAGTTTCACAGTTCTCCATCTTGATCACGTATAACCCGCCTACGCCTATGGAACCATTGCTGACACCAGAGTGCAGAATCAATGCCTGTGACAGGCCTGCAAACTATGAATCATTAAAGCGGGAGTTTGTATCTGAAGTAGGTGGAATGCTATTAACAACGTGAGCATGAGGGCCTGAACATTGGGGCTTATTAAGGGATTAAAGCAAAATATCAATATACTCCCGAATGGGCATTTAGTCTCCAGAATAAGCGACTATATCATCTACAGCGTAGAGGCAGAAGCCATTGACAAGGTTGTTGCGGAATACGGACCATGTACGTCTGCCATTCTAAGTCATTCAATCGTATCATCTATTCATATCATCCATCAAACCCTGTCTGACAAGTTGAAGCAACCAAGGTCGGCGCAATTGTCGGTGGTCAGACATCATGCAAAGCTCCTGAACTTGCTGCGTTTGATAAGAACCTGCCCAACGACGTAGAAATCATCTCTTGTCATTCCCTTCATGGTCCTAACGTCAATCCTAAAGGCCAACCCCTGGTATACCTAAACCCGAAATTATGTATCACTGTTGTAGCCGCATAGTAACACCAGGTCTTCCAGGTCCTAATCAAACATAGAGCCTCAGACGAAAGCCTAAGGTTTGTGGAGAACCTTTTCGCCTCCTTCCAGTCCAAATATGTCTATCTCAGTGGTGTGATGCACGATCGGATCACAGCAGATACCCAAGCAGTCACCCACGCCGCTTTCCTCAGCATGGGCACTGCGTGGCATGCCAACAACCAGTTCCCTTGGGAAGTTGCCCGCTACGTGGGCGGCATTGAGAATGTGAAAATTAACATCACATTGCGCATATATGCGAACAAGTGGCACGTCTACGCAGGCCTAGCCATACTCAACCCTGCCGCGAAGATGCAGATTCGCCAGTACGCGCAGTCGGTGACTGAGCTGTTCAAGCTGATGCTGGGTGGGCATCGGGAAGAGTTTCGGGCCCGGGTGAAGGCCGCCGGGGCTGCGGTGTTTAAGTCTGGTACGACGCAGCATGAGCTGTTGTTGCGGGATGAAGTGCTTGACCGGTTCTCCTTGTCCAAGGGGATGTCGGAAAGGATGCCTAATAACCATCTGAGCTTGTTGGCTATTGTGGATTGCTGGTGGAAGTTGGGGATTGTTCCTTATGATCATATGATTTGCTCGACGCCGGTTAGTGGGCTTTGACTCTATTCTTTCGTGCAAATATACATACGTACGGATATTTGTAAAGAGGGCTAACAGAATTGCTTAACAACCACAGCTCTTCCGTCTATGGTTAGGAGTGACCGAATATCTCTTCAGAAATGAAGACCTCCTCAATGAAGTTCTGGACATTGCAATTGATGACAACACTTTCCGGTCTGATGACTTAGAATTCACTTTTGCCGCACGGGTATGTGCATGCATGCATTATAACCACTGCTCCCAGCCTTGTGTAGGCCCCAACGTCATAGCCACTTCCCATTTGCCATATTTAACCCCTTCCCGAAAACAAGAAATTCCAGAGTGAAGAACAAGCCACTTTCCCTCCCCCTGCATATATTACGTATTGTTATGCATCCCCTTTCTTTTGTTTGCATTGTTCCACACCTTTTTCACCCTCACCTCACACCAACATTCACCAACACTGCCGGCGCCAAATTCTATGCTGACGAGAATTCCCTGACACTTCTGGGAAATTTTTATTAGGCCTGGTCTGAATGCGTGTCATTTGGAGATTTTGCTTCATACCGCGATCGTTTTGAAAAGATCCAATCGTACTTTGCTCCACGGATCCCAGAAGCTGTCCGTCTTGGAAATGAGATGATGAAAACTATTTTGGACAAGACAACGACCACCACCTATGCAACAACAGGAAACGCGACGAGTTCAAGTTGAAATACCACAAGCTAAAGGGACGGACACCAATAGGAATGACGGCATTTCAGGCGTTGGGGAAACTTTCATGCAATAGCCATGTCAACTTACCACCACTCGCGTCTTTGGGTTGCGACGGTTGGGATATGTTTTCAGCGTTTTATCATCGTTATTGTCGTCCCTCTCAGCTTTCTTGGGTTCAGTTATCGTTGTCAGCGAGAGATAATTCCAGTTTTATATCACCTTCTTTTGTATGCCTTCCCGTCGCCCTATATGCCTAAATATTCCAGGCAAGAAATGACGGCAGAAAAATACAATAATCAACAATCATACGGGCTAATAAATGAGCGCGTGAGGGTCCAGCTTGCTACTTGTCAATTTTAATCATTGGCTGGCTTATTCAATGTTTTTTGATGTTACTTCCGGTTTATTATTGTATTGAGGTTTTCGAATCGATTACCCAGGCACTCGGAGAACCGATTTCATGAATGCAGATGGAATTAACAATGTTTAGCTAGACATCTTTTCGGTAGGAAGGTATAGCTACTTTGTAATCTCAGTGGAACAGCAGATTAATTCTTCCAGTTTTTGCCTTCTGATTTGTTTCTCTTGGCCCCCCGTCCAGCGATTTACATCAGCATCGTATGTGAAGCACAGCCAAGTAATAATCAACGCAGCAATTGATGGAAGGTTCATGAAGAATGCAACAAACTCTGAGGTCTGTCTATCCAGGCAACCTAGGAGTATTGGCACAGCATATCACGACCAATCCCATCGTGGTGCCCATCTCGACTTCATAAACGGGTAATTCCCAATTCTATGCCCAGATTAAAAGTTGGATCAAACCTTAGCGCACGGACTCCCGTGCCTGGCGGCTAAATAACCCCACTATTTGATGAATCATCAACAAAGCGATCTTTCCAGAATCTCTTGTAATCAGTGAAACTATGCGGAGACGAAAGACAACCGTCAGGTATACTCTAGCAATCCGCATGGTTACGTGAAATTCCTCGACCAGCCCTAGGCCCGTTCTGGTTTCATCTCTGGTAAATGATCAAGGGCATCCTGATTCACTTCTCAAATCAGTCACTCTTCGCCTGTAATAGTAATTATTGCATCATCCCCTCCACACCTTTAGGCATATTTCGCTATGGCAAGCAGAGATGGCGGTGAGAAACGAAGCTATCAGGAACTTTTCCATATCAATTGCGTTATGCCAGCTCCTGCATACACCTTGATCCAAGCCGATATGACTTCAATGATATGTTCCCACCGCAGTTCCCAGATTTAGAATGTGGATTTTTTTTCTCCGGCGAGTGGCTTACGCGACTCCCCACCCATGACAAGATTCGGCGCATGCTGCTAGATCTAGACAGCCGCTTTCTCTATGCGTACGAACTTGTTAGTGAAAAAAGGGTTTGCTAACTTGCCATTTTAAGATGATTATGGAGAGATTTCTCAAGTTACCGGCTAGATTTGAAAATATTCAAGTCACTTCGCGCCTGCAAATACTGAACGGTCATCCGTAGGCTATGGCAAGAGTGTTTGGCCAGAGACTGATAATGCACATTGATTTGCGTTTCAATAACTCACGTCAACATCAGCACCGAAAGGTACGGGGCGGAATGGGGCCTGGTTTAGGGTTCTGGGGAGGTTACTGCTACCAGGTCGTTTCCAATTGTACCAATGTGTTTAAACCTCCGTGAGGCAATGGGTTCTGGTTTTCATGGTGTCGGTCCAATACTGAAAGAGTAGTTCGAGCCAAGAATAATTAAAGTGCTGGAAAGCAGGGTGCTTAACAGGAAACGTGGCCAATATCAGTTCAAAAGAGGTGTTACGTCAAACGTCAGGTTTCAATTCTCTGTGTCCTGCCCTGATCTTATTCTGCGGGGCATCAGGTGTCATCATTGCTCTTCCATATCTTCGTGGAAACGCGCACTGACGAGTTGAAGGATAAGGTTATGGCCCACAAAAGGCTAGTTATTTAGTCACGCCATCACCGGATAATGAAAGGCTGTTGGACCTGCGAGCGTTCCTTCAGTGGAGTGGTCGCTAACTTGAAGTCATTTATATATATATATGTGCAGATATAAACTGTCCGATACGAGCGGTTTGCAAGGTTCCTGACATTGAATGCCCAGGCCGTTAGCTCACCCCAGTTGAACCCAAGATGTTGCCTGGGATGGGGTTGCAGGCGGAAATGTGGGTTCTCTCCAGCGTTTTCTCTCGTTGATTCATTTTGGCTTTGTGATAGCGGAGTACTGCCTATATATAGACATCTCCCCGGATCCTTGGACCGTATAGAGGGTTTTCGACGGCCGCTGGTCGTCATGATCTAATGCGGAACTGAAATCGAAACCGAGGATAGAGGAAAAAACTGCTACCAATGCAAGGGATCGCAAAGCAATCTAATCATGTCATCAAATGATCAAACAATCAAGATTGCCACAGTGCTGGATAAATTCCTCCGCACAACCACTTATACATTTATTTTATTTGGTTTGTCTGTCCCAACGCATGTTTTGTGTGGCTCATTGAATGCATAGTTTGTGTTCTTTTGACACAGGTTTTAAACACGGTTAAATATCGACATCTATATTTGATTGCCGTGAACCATGATACAGAAGGCCGAGGTGGATGAAGCAGCCCATATGTATGTCATTGGATGATTGTACAGAAGGGTTTCTCGGCATCAGCCGCCTATGCTTTGCGATGGTCGTCATCGTCCTGGCTGTGCTGAACCGTTCAAGTAGACCAGTGGCATAGATGATCGCGAAGGATGGAAGGCCAAGAAATGGTTGCAGCACAGGAATTTGCTAATTCGGGGATTGGTGGGGAGACAAAATGCAGATGACAGAATCATGAATTGATGATACTGTGAGAGATGCACTCACGCCTGTGGCATCTCTTAACTAGCCACACCAAATCCTCCACTGTGTCACCATTATTCCTCGAGGCCGCGATGCTGTTGCGTGTCCTGTTGCACCAGATCCATAGTCTCCTCTCTGTGAAGCCTTGGGTGCTTGGAATTTCCAGGTCCACGGCACAGCAACCCCCCAATATCACCACCAGCTGAAACCCTTTTTCTTGATTCCGCGCTTTTTTTTTTTTTTTGTGGGGGGAGGGGGTTTTTCTCAGCGTCTTGTTTGAGTACGAGTTATTCTTCTCGTTCTACCCTCAAAATTTCCCTGAGAATATCCTTCAGCCCCTAAATAGACACCGGGGCTAGACCAGCCACTGTTCCTAAAATGATCGAACTGGGCCTCTTTAAACCGATATCTTTGGAGAAGATCAATTTAGGCTCATTCCACACCCCAGTTGAAGTGATTATGGGCCGGATAAATGCTCGCGGTGTTGTCAGTGTGCGGCATAAGCTTTGAAAACTACAATAACAAGAAAACTCCATATAGAAAATAAAAATTAAAGGGTGGATGGGTGAACCCAGAGGCCCATATGCTGCAGATCACTGCAGCCCACAGGATTTCCAATCCTTGCAACCCCCTTGGTTCCAAGAGGCTGGGCTCACAAATGGCTACTGTGTAATTGGCCCTGTGCAGCCATTGCTAATGTTATCCTGCAGCAATATACTTGTGTGTGCACTGTTTCGTGCCAGGTTTGGGCTGCACTGAAGATGATTTGCGCCTTTGATGCAACCCGGGACTATGATAGGCTAGGTGGATGGGCTGCGCGTACAATAATGTGACGACTCTAGACACACTCAATCATCATAAAAGTACTTGCATACGCAGGGAGTACGTACGTCCATGGTTTCATATATGAATTGGGTTAATGCCGCGTTTGTTTTTTCCCTTGGTTGATATTTAACTTAATGTGCGGTCGTTTCTTCTCAGCCTCGCCTCCCTCCCTTTTGGCTAAACTACTTATTTTGATACGCACAACACTCAAACCTCCATCCTCTTCACTCTTAATTTGATGTAGCTATTGTTAACTGTAGCTGAATTAGCCTTCACAGGTGATTACTTATAGGTGCTACAAAACGACCTACTTCACCCGACCAAATACAGCTTCCTCTACGCTGTACAGGCATACTCAGTCTGTGCCTGGAATATTTCCGCCATGAGGCTTTTCCCTACAGCGGTCGCGGCGGCCACCTTGGCGTCCAGTGAGCGCTCTCTATATCATCATAGATATAGAGATTCCCTGGCTAACATTTCCCCCCAGTGCCAGTGGTGCACGGCCAAACAGCGCAATTTCGTCCTAGCGACGCAAAAGGCATCTTCTACAGCCTGACCATTCCCCCGTCCACTGCTTCTCGCGGCGAAGGCCTTATCTTCTTCACCATGGAAGCGCCCAGTGATGGCATCCAATGGTTCGCACTGGGCCAGGGAAGGGGAATGACTGGTTCTAACATATTCGTCGCCTACGCCTCATCCCCAACCAACATAACCGTCTCCCCGCGTCTGGGTGTCGGCCATATCGAGCCTGAATACAACCCATCCGCGCGCATAAGCCTCTTGGAGGGTTCGGGCATATCTAATGGCAAAATGATTGCTAATGTTCGATGTGACAATTGCATGAAATGGGAGGGTGGGTCCATGAGTCCCACAGATCGGAAGAGCCCCTGGATTTGGGCCATGAAGGCCGGCAACCCTCTCAACTCCGCTGATGTCAGAGAGCAAATATCCTTCCATGACAACATGGGCACCTTCAGCCTTGACCTGAGCAACCCATCAGATGGCGGATCGGGAGGATCGGGCTCAGCTACACCGGGAGTTTCCCAGAAAACCATCAACGTCAAAAGCGTGACACACGGCATCATCATGTCTGTCGTCTTCGTCATCCTCCTACCAACCTTCGCATTGGGGCTGTTTTTGATCACCTATCCACAAACAGCATCGCGCATCCATGCTCCCCTGCAACTGCTAACAGTCTGCGGCGCCATCGCCGGGTTTGGCGTGGGTGTCTCGCTAGCCCGCGACCTGGGAAAAACAGCCATGTACCATCCCATAATTGGCTATGTGGTCATTGCCTGGCTGTCGGTGTTCCAGCCGCTTCTAGGCTATCTGCACCATCGCCACTACGTGCGGATGCGCAAGGGGAGTGTGATGGGGTTTGTGCACCGCTGGGTCGGCCGTGCTATGCTCATACTAGCCATCGTCAATGGTGGGCTAGGTTTCAAGTTTGCCGGAATTGGGAGCGACACTGCGCCTAAGGTTGGAGTTATTGTCTATGGGGCTATTGCGGGATTCATGGGCGTCATTTACGTCGCTGTTGCAACATGGGGCACGGCAAGGAATCGAAAGGAGAGATCAGGATCTGACGCGTCTCTTTTTGGCGCGAACGAAATGAAAGATGGGGCGAATAGGAGATAGATATATGGCTGCTCGGTCGTTATGCCCCTTAAAGAGATCAGTGCAGCTAGGATCGAGTTGCTTTCTTCCCTGCGTTAGGGGTCATGTCTCTCATTATTCATTCCTTTGTTTTTCATTCCCCTTCATGGGTGTGTGATCACTGTGACTTTTCATTGCTGATATCCCCATCGTTTTGCTCAACATCTACTTTCCTTCTGCTAAAGTTCTTGATCTACGAACAATTCAGCTTCTGCGTGGACTGTCTTTCTTCGTCTTTGTGCTTCCTCATTTATTTTATTTCATCTTCTTCTTTTTCTGCAAGGGAAAGCATTTTGAAGCACTTCCTTGGGTTTAATGCAACCCTTTATCTCTTTATCCATTCTTCTCTCTGCCCCCAACCAAATCACCCTTTTTTCTTCTTTTCTTTTTTTATGATATTTCACCAACTACCCACGTATCTTGTAGTTAGGAGCCACTTGATTAGGTACTTAGCATGTACAACATTTTCTGTTTTTTTTTTTTTTTTGCATTTCCTTCCTTCTTTCCAATTACTTATTTACTATAGCTTGATAATGTTAACTATAAATTTCGATTTACTATTCCATATACAAAGTAGTACTTTCTTTTATTTTCTTTTTATTTTTATCATGGAGACTTAACAAAAGAACAGAACCAAACAAACAGATCAGAGCAACTGAATGATGTTCATCTTATGTCCTCATTAATTAACTCTCTGTGAAGAACAATTCATGTTGGGAGAAATATTCCATAGCGGATCTTGTCTACACTCTCTATTCTCCATCCCTCCATGACATGAGCTTAAGTTTTGGGGGATCTTCACACCCTAGACATTCTCGTACCTTGAAATCGGCCCAAAATCTTGTCATTCTTGCCAGTTCCCCAACTAATGGCTCCAAGAAACCCATCCACGCGACATAATCCCTTGGAATTTCGAAAAAAAAACACCCGCTGACCGCATCGAAATACCCCTCTATCACATCCGGGTTTGGAGTGATCATTTTCTCCGTATGCGTCAAGGTAAGATCGTAGAGTGGCGCCAGTAAACCGCGGTTGACTCCAGTCCGCCACGTCGGTGAGGTACGGGAATGGGAACTTGAATGCTGGAATCCCGATGTAGCGTGTTTTAGTACAAGGAGCTGTCTCGGGATCACCGAAGGACCATCGGTCCATATATTCTAACAAGAGTCCAGTCCTTCATTTAGAATTATTAGATTTGTGGATAAAGGGGACGTGGGAGTTTTAGGAAAATGGCTTCGCTTGGCGATTTTGTCAATCGCCCTCCTATTTCTCAACGCGCAGGCTTCGTAGGGTGTAATGTGACTGGTTTGAATAGAACTGGATGAGCAGTATCTAATGTGGAGATGGTTTGCAAATTCTCAGATTTTGTCTTGAATCTCATAAGGAAATTTGAGAAAAAGGAGAAAGATATGATATCTGCTTTGCTGATAAAATGGCAGAGAGAATTATAAAACTTGTGATAAGATATTGATAGAATATAAGAAAGGGTGTCATCCACTACATGAGCACTACAGTTTTCCCCGACCTAGACTGAGAATTCACATTAAAACTACCAATCGTAGGACATTCATTGCCATCAAACCCCGTCGCATTATTATCAGCTGCGCCTATATTGAAGAAAGACACGATCCAATATTCTGTAAATTAGGTGGTGTGGAGGCAGAGGGAAGTAGCTATGGCAACACTCTGCAGATATGTGCTGCGTGGGTGGGAAATTTAGGCCATGTTGGAGAAGATTGGCACTATCATTCCTCCACCGTGTAATTAGGAAATTCTTGTTACTAAAGCTCGCTCTAGTCAAGAGAACACAAAATATGGAACGAGGTGCCAAAAATGGGGCCCTAGATCTCAGAGAAAACTTCGCCTGTGGATCGAGAAGGAGATATGACTGGCTTGTTCCGGTGCCATCAATGGAGATGGGAATGGCTGGGATAGAAGCTGGTTTGTGGGTTTTCAAGGACAGGAATACCGAATAGCAACAATGAGCACTTGGCATATGTTGCTGAGGCTGAGTATGAAGAAATGTTGAGTCGCATGCGAGTGATAACCAACTGTTTCCTCCGCTATCTTGCCAAGATTCTCATCCTTGGAGGGAAGAATGATATTTGATTTTCACGCCCTGATACTGAACGCATTTAAATGGCATGGGTTATTTCGGATATCTCCACGGTTTAAGTCGAACTATCTCGAATTTCGTAGTTTGCACAAGCATCATACTCGTATATAATGGGATCCTATCCACGCTACTTCCTACACGCGTAAGAAATGGTTATAGTCCACCTAGATGCGTAGCCCGTTCTAACAGGAACTTGTAGAACTCGCAGTTCCAACATCAAAACACCCTCGGTCTTGCTATCTCGCTAGGAAGGGGCTAACAGAGCAGCTCAACTGCTACGACAGTAAGTGGTCCGCACCAGAAGGACGCCAGGGCGTGACTTTGAGGTCGACATGAAATCCTCATGTCCCCACGGCTATCGTTTTCAAGCAGCGTCCGGGGACCATAAGAGTACATAAAATACTTTCGGTTTCCTAAACACACACACACACATAAAGCCAAAATATGAAAATCTGATATAACTAACCAATGCAGGAATGGCTAAGTAACAAGGCTGCTCAGCAGGCGACCTGGTAGGTGCTGCAAACCGCGCCTGAGAATGATTAGGTTGGCCGAATTGATCCAGAAAGTGGGAAGAGCAGTTACAGCCTTCCAATTGTATGACTTCTTGATCGGAAAGTGAAGACTTTATAACGCATACGGTTTGAACGAGGGTCTGGATCCTGAAGCTTTGGGGATAGCTCATGAGGATAACTTAAGAAATGTTTCTTGGCCAGCCTTTACTCATTCTTCCAAGTTGAGAAGGGAGTACTGTACGAGGCCATGAAGCTAAGGATGAAAATGGGCAAGTATTCACGTTTCCCCATACGGTCTCTGTACTCTGCAGATGTGCTATGTTAACAAAAGACGATGTAGAATTGACAGTTGAAGTGGGTCGGACCAAATATTGGGAACTAACTGCCGCCAGCTTAGTTAAAACTTAGCCGCTGGCGGTAAACTCGGCTCTGACGATCAAACCACTTGGAGAGCATATATTTAATACACTGTATCTTCCCAATGTTCTTCCCAATGTCAGAATGAATTATTCACAGAGACTCCTAGAGACAAATATGACTGGGCTTGATAGAGTGAGCAGTTTAACATTCTGAATGAATTCTGATAAAGAAAACTGACAGAGATGGGAGAATGCAGCCTGGAAATAAGCATCGTCCCCTATGCTCCTAATATTATCCATCGATAGACTATATTCAGTGGGCACAACTTCAAAGAACATATTCTCACAACAGGAGACAATAATTAACTGTTGTAATTGATATGACTTGATCACTATAACATTCTGTGTTCTGCTGTGCTCTCACCTGTCATCAGATGGAGCTCTAACTACGTGTTGGCCATGATCACTCTTCTCTTTTTCTCCTTTTCCTTTCATAGTATTAACTGCAATATGTTCCTAAGCTTGTCATCAGAGTTTTAATCATATCATGGCGTCATATACATATACATATACATATATATATATATAATGATTGATTGATTGATTGATTGATTGATTGGTTGATTGATTCATTTGTTTATTTTCCCCACAAGTTTAACAAGAATTCAGCCAGCAGGGGTAACCAAATCGTAACTAAATCCACAATTCACCTCCATGAAGTCCCATTCAGAGAATCTTGGAAGGCTGGCGCTTCACGAAGAACATAGGTTCAAGGATGAGTGTGGCTCTGCAGTTCAAAATGTCCTCAAATGTTCCAGAATTCGGGAACCCCGCACAGGACAATATCATCATGGTATTCCGTCATATTAAGGGGTCACCATAGGGACTGACGGGCTTTACAGGGACTTAACAATACCTTATTAGCTCAAAGCTCATGTTGGCGCCGCCTGGATATTTAGTTAGTTACCTAGTAATAGTGGCGGTTCCATCGTGATTCTCCTGGGATTCCAAGGAGTAATTACCTTGGAAAATAGCTGGTGAGTGGATGAGGGGCAGCCAGCGGTTTTGTTTCTGTGAGCTGGTTTTGTATTGCTGGCCACTTCTCGCTCATAATCTTTTTCTGGATAGCCATCCTTTTTCTGATGGGGATGATAGAGGAGTATATAAAGTCATCTCGAGTGAACATACTGCAACTTCCCATCTTTGTAAATACGTCTCGTGAGTATATCGTCTTGTGGATAGCATTTGTTTAACTAAACATTACCCGGGCGACGGGACTCTGTGGTTAGCTATTAACCATAGCCAATCCCCAGTGCCCCCAGGGCCCAACCTGTTGGTAGCTTCCCCAACTTAACTTAGTTAACTATGTCTTCCTTTTCTTCTTCTTCTTCTCCCTTCTTCTTCACCACCTCCTCCCTCTTTTCCTTTTCCTCTTCTTTCCCCTATATCTCAATATATTCACACCACAACCAAGAGCCATTAATTGTGCTCTTGTAGGAATGTAAGTATTTACAGGAACTTTTGCATTCATACCTCCATCATCTCCGCTGTTACCTTGCGTTCCCCTGGTTTGCTACCAACTAGGATCAGTGCTCCCGCCTTATGTTACACCCAACCTGTCAAACCCTTCTAAGATCCAAAGAGCATAAGTCCAACTCCTATACTATATTTAACCAGTCTATGCTGACCATTTCATCATTGTGTGACCTGCTTAGATTCTCCATTCGTTCCTGGGGAAGATGGACTCCCATGTTACGATCAAGAAATCACATCTCGATACCCTCCTTCGAAGGTACGCTTTTGGAAGATATTGGCGTGTTCTCCCCCTTTTTTTCTGTTTAATTGCCCCTCGATTAGCCTAAGTTTTTACCAATTCTTCTGGGGTTTCTTGTCGCCCTCTTTCCCTAAAACTTCCCCTATATACAATATGCCAAATTCAATATGGAGTATTCCAAGTTCTAATTGCGAACCACGGCCATATGAAGTAACAGGGCGGAGTTGGTGAGCTCGCCATATGCACAACCCTGATGGCGTTTCTACTGTATTTAGCTCCAGAAGCTCTGACACACGAGACCACCACCTCTATGCTGGAACTGTGTAGCATGGCTCCTCATCGGATTTTGAGATTACCTCGAACGTTGCTACGGTAACTATCCCAAAATCTGAGCATGACTTTCTTGTGAGTTTAAGATACCTCTTAACCTATTTATTGCTGTATTTGCTAACGCTTGTTGAAGCTTCGCAGGTCCCGCGAATACGGTACGCTTAGACTGCCCGAGTCTGTACAAGACTATATTCAAGCTCCCTCAACCATTAATATATTTTCACGTCCTTTCCTGGTTTCGTAAACCACGTCTAATCCGCATGTTACTGGCAGATAATTTGAAGCAGGCCCTGTGTGAAGGGGGTGTAACTCAGGAAGCTCTTGAAGTGAGAACTCGAGCGTCAACGTGCATGGATATAATCGCTAACTGGATGACAAGACTCTGATAAGTGGCCCTGACAACCTAGATGATCCCGTGGACTCCAGGAGCATTCTTGGCAGCCAATCCCCAACAGAAATTTACAAACCCGAGTCCCACGCCCTACGCGCAATCTTGAACGGTTCCAATAATGAAAATATCCCTTCAAGTAGCAGCAGTAATAGCTCTCCTCATAGTGGCACAGGGAGATTTCAACGATCTGCTGCCAATGGCAACTTCCGTCAACCTAGCTTCGAAAATGATGTCACGTCTTTCTTAAGTGATGAGAAAGAGGATATGTCATTCTATTGCAATTCGCAAACTAGGCAAGACCGTCAGCAACAGGCAAACTGTACAGAGAACCGCACTATCCTTTTAAAGGGCCTGTCTGAAAAGACGACTCATCGTGATATTGTTGCTGCTGTTCGGGGTGGTGCTTTGGTTGACGTTTTTTTACGCCCCCGAGAGCGACAAGCAAGCATCTCCTTTGCTGAGGGTAAATCCGCCCAAGAATTTCTATCCTATGCCAAACGTCAGGATCTGTATATCCTGGGTAAACTGGTGAGACTCTCTTGTGGTATATCGCTAGAAATAGCACGCTCACATGTTAATTGAACTGTACAACAACAGATTGATATATCTTGGAGTGAACGCCAATTCTATCTTCCGGGTCATGTTGCTGGTAAGCTGGCAAATGGAGCTTCGCGTAACTTGGTTATCCGCTCAGTGCACCCCAACCTGACCGAAGCCAGAATTCGGGGCGACCTGGAGCATATCCATAATCTGATAGTAATCGACATCACCTTCGAGAGAGGAAATGCATACATTTCGACCAACTCAGTTCACAATGCTCTTTTTGCACGTACTTGCATGATGTCGCGTTTGGCTTACAAAGGCATGAAAATTGAATACTATCCCGATGAATGCGCTGGTCCCTTACCTAAGGTCCAGTATGTACCAAAGAAGGTGGCACCAGCGCCTCCAGTTAGGAAGGCAGCTCCGATGACCAACCGTTTTCAGATGCTCAACATGGATGGGGAAGACGACTCTGAGGAAGAGGATGATCTGATTAGCGGCACGTCCCTTGGTGGCAATATTAGCTGGACCAACTCTAGCATTGCAGTCTAACATGGTTTCCATGTTTTCCCTCTTCCTTTCCAAACTGAACTGCTGACATGACGGCTTGACAAACATCCCTTTCGGCATTAATTCTCACTTATTTCTGTTGGCATTAACCCGATGAGTAGGACGTGCGTGCAGGCTTAGACTCCATACTCCCTAAACATGGCACTCCTTCTGGGGGCCGCTACCTTTTTACACTTACCGTCATCAGCGCATTGAAACATCTTCCAGTACATTCACAGCCAGGTTTGTGGGAACCATATTTGTTCAAATTCGACCACGGATCCTTCTTTACTTAGCTCTCTATAGATACCCATAATACTTTTTCTCTCTCTCTCTCCCTCACACACACACACACACACACACACACACAACTGTTGAGGACTGCGGTGTTAGAATATCTCTCATATGATTCGACCTTTGTATTTTCCTCTTTTTTCTTTCAATTCATCATTGATGATGATTTTCAGTATTCCACATGTCCCTTCCTTTATCCCCTGATGCATGCTATTCGACCAAAATATTTAATTGTATGTACATACACAAATCAGCTATATGGTATTGACGATTCGAAGAGTTCGGGTCTAATTAATTTAAACGAAGACCTGCCAGAGCTGTCAACTATTTTCTAGTATATTCAATCTTCAATGCATCCATATCACTATATTTGCTGTGTTTGAAGGAACCCCTTAATGTACTCCACGTGACCCAATTTCTGATGCGCTAAGATAAGATAATCACAGACCACCAAGCCGCAAGCGAAAAAAAGACGAAAAACGTCGAAATTCGTCAAAATTCAACGTCCAACAAACCCATCACCACCCCGATACCTGACGACTCCACTCAATTGCTTCTCCTCTCTCCGCCGAACTGCCAATTCTCGTCTCCTATAGCGCTCCCATAAACACTTCCATCATCTAACGTCCTCCCTCTTATCGTCGGCCCGCAATAAAAAGCCATGGCCTATGACAACCGTACAAGCCGGCCGGTTGCCAACCTGCACGATGAATCCGACGTGGAGGAAGAGACGCTCGTCAATGATTACCGGGAGCAAGTACATTTCGATGATGGCATGAGTGACCTAGACCGGACGACGTCGTTGGGCGGCGGGTCGCAGACGCAGGACTTACAAGCACAGCTGGCGGCGGCGGCGACACCGCTCGAGTTCCAAGCCACGCTAGAGACGAAGTTTGCGAGCTATGATAACTATTGTAGCTTGTTTCATTATATATTGAATTCAGATGGGCCGGTGGATTTGGAGGTCCCTTCTGTATGTCCTCCTTTTTATCCTCTGTGGATTTTTTTTCCCTCAAAGAGTGAAAGGCTTTTGTGGAGATATGTTTATATATCAGGAAATTCTGCATAACATTTATCCTTCGTTTGTTGATATGGGTTAACTAACCAATGTAATTCATAGTATTTCTGGGCGTGGGATGTGATTGACGAGTTCATCTACCAATTCGAATCCTTTTGCCGGTACCGCAACCGCATCGCTCGTACTGGCTCGAATGAGGAGGAGGCTCAACTTCTGCGGGAGAATCCCAACACCTGGGGGTGCTATTCAGTTCTTAACGTGCTCTACTCACTTATCCAAAGATCCCAGATAAACGAACAACTTGCAGCCATCAAGCGCAACGAAGATCCCACAGACGTTGCGGGAGAATATGGAAACCGACCCCTGTACAGAATGCTAGGCTATTTCTCCATCATCGGCCTGCTCCGCGTCCACTGCTTGCTGGGCGACTTTAGTCTTGCTTTGAAGACCCTCGATGACATCGAGATGAACAAAAAGGCCATGTTCGCCCGCGTCATGGCTGCCCACTTCACTACATACTACTACGTCGGCTTCTCCTACATGATGATGCGCCGCTACGCCGATGCCATCCGCATGTTCAGCCACATCCTCGTCTACGTGTCGCGCACCAAGAACTTCCAAAAAGGCAGCAACAGCTACGACGCCATTGCCAAGAAGAATGACCAGATGTACGCCCTGATCGCCATCTGCGTCGCCTTCCATCCCACCCGTCTCGACGACACGATCCACTCCGCCCTGCGCGAGAAATACGGTGAACAATTCAACCGCCTCCAGCGCGGCGGACCTGAGGCTCTGCCATTATTCGAAGAGCTCTTCCGCTCCGCCTGCCCCAAATTCATCAGTCCGACGCCGCCAGACTTCGACAACCCAGCTATGAACGTCGACCCCGTCGACCACCACACCGCCATCTTCATGGACGAGGTGCGCAATACCCTCTACAATCCGACCGTGAAATCCTATCTTAAACTCTACACCACGATGGATCTGCAGAAGCTCGCTGGCTTCTTGGATGTTGAACCTGAGCAACTGCGGGCGTGGCTGCTTGTTAATAAGCAGCGCAGTCGGCAGACTCGGTGGGCAGATGGGGGTTTGCTGGAGGGTGAGGTAGTCAATGGGAATGATTTGGATTATGCGATCGAGGGCAATTTGATCCATATTAGCGAGGCCAAGGCGGGGAGAAGATTGGTGGATTGGTACTTACGAAACCTGGCACGGACGTATTAGAAATTTTGTTTTGTTTAGACGATACCAACGGTCTATCGTGTGATGGTTGCTCTCCCAGTTTTTTTGCGTTGTCGGATTTGCTCTCTCGAGTTGTTACGACTAACTTGATGGGAAGAAGGATTTAAAAGCGGATGCATGCATAGATAAGCCGGTGGGAAGGCCTTGAAATTGTTACGATTTTCTCTTGACCTGTCTCAGAAATTTGTTAAACAAAACAACTAGACTACGAGGAATTGAAAAATGAAGGGAGTGAGGTTCTAACGATTTTTTTTTATTTTAATTTTATTTTCTTCTCGTTTCCGATAATGGCCTGTCTAATTTTAACTGATTGTTACTTCACTGCTTTTACCAAGGCGTTTCAACTTTTTATTTCTACGAACTTTCTCCTTTCTTTTATTTTAGTTAGCTTATTATTCACTCTTCCTTTTCATTTTTTTGCCTTTTTTCTCTAGTTCAAGATCTTATCAAACTCCCTAGAACTTTATACTCTTCGACTATAAGCTACCCGTATTTGGTGGATTTTCCGTGTTGTGGTCATGGCTTGGATCCCAACTCACCCCCAGTTGAGGCCAAAGACATTGCATAATCGATCCATAGGGAATCAGCCATGATATTTAGTTTCGGCATTGCGGCATGGCGGGATATTGATCTTGTCCTGAATATGGAATCAGCAGGAAAATGATTCATTGTATCTTCGATAGTTCAACTTCATGGGCTACTACCCTCACTCTCATTGAGTTCGCCAGATTTAATGTTTGCTCCGTGGGTTTTAATAACAGTGTGTGTTAGCATGTCGAGTTTCCCGGGGGAACCAAGTCTTCTTATTCAACGGTGAATAGAAAGGGGTTTTTGCCCGAGGTATTTTGTACGTGGACAAACGGCAGAGAGACGTCCATGAGATGGACATAGGTAACTCCGGTAGTTTAGTTCCCAAAAAGCGTACTTTGAGAGACCCGTATATTTCTGAGGGTGTTTTCAGGATCAATCATGTTTGTAATCAAGAATTGCTCCAATTCTTCATCAAATTCAAACTCATATTCTGTTGAACGGTGTATAAAACCAACAGAAATTGGATTGCTAGGGAACTGATTTTGATCGCAGGTGTGGAAGTCATGCTACACGCATTCAGGGAACAATATAGGGGGGAATTCTTTACTCCGGCGGAACGTATTATAGGATAAGAATATTTGAGCGCACAATGAGCAAGCGGTTGATCTCATACCACCATCATCATTGTATCGCCGGAAATTGGAACTGAGGCCATTGTAATTGCTATGGCAACATTAGCGAAATTGGACATCATGGGTGTACCATTAAGTTCATATTGTAGCAGGGCAGAGGGTGGTGATTTTTGCCAAAGAGTGCCAGTGGTCAAAAGAATACCGTTTTCACCAATGATTGGGCCGGACGGACAATGATATTAAATGTGGAGCCGAAGCTCCCACAATTGTCCTTTTTGTCAACGAGACTAACTTCAGTTTTGAAGTATGTCTAACCCGAAGCATTGAGGAACAAAAGCGTGCGTATATGCCTCTGTAACAGATTGGTGAAACACGCAACGTCTAGGTGGTGGAGCCAGAGAAACAACCAGACCTCTAAAACAGTACTGGGAGCACCAGCAAATCCATCAGCATGGAAATACAGCTCTCCTTGTCCCATAACGAACTCATGCCCTACGTTTGCCTTCCCCAGTGATGCGACGAGGTGTACTGCCCTTCCATCACCGGCATATACAAGGATATCACACGTAATCTGTGAGCACAAAGCGAGAGTAAGGCAACTGAAGGGGAAGCGGCTAACAGGTAGGTAGTCGAAAAGAAGTTCTAAGCCCAGCCGCCGGAGAAATAATAGATATCCGGCAACTCCCCTAACCCGATGATAAGTGAAAACGCTACCAAGATAGCAGTTTATGGAAAATAAATCGTAGAGAATAGAGAGGAAATGGGTGCATATATGCATAGTAATACTTATTACTTATGTAGGACAACGAGGACAAATGCTCAGTACCTCTGGACTGGAGAAAGGAAACAGAAAAGAAAACGGAGAAAGTGGGGGATCAGGGGTGGTTAAATTTCGACTTCGATATTCCTCTGCAAGTGATCTATCTAGGGCGATGAATTGAGCAACGGAGAATCTTCAGAATGTGAATAGTTTGGGTCGAAATCCTTCATATGGAAATATTCCTCAGGACGAAATTAACCTTTGAAACCCTCTCACAGTTAATTGAAGAATAGATGAATAGGCCTATGGAACTGCCATTCAACTGGATCAAACGATGTGAAATATTCACATCGCTGAGAGGCAGGGAATATTCGCAGCTGTCAAAGGTTCTGGATTAGGTGAACTTATAATCACATATGTATGACATGATCCAAAAAAAGACTCTATTCGAGCTGAATAGTCAGTGCTAGGTAAAATCATCCAGATCTTGCCAGCAATTAAACAATGGCTGTTATGGTGATATATATTTCGAAGATGGTAAAGCAACTGGAAAACGTGAGGAGAGTCTGTGCGACAATATGTACGTAAAAGAAAAAAAAAGAAAAAGAAAAAGAAAACAAAACTCCGACGCTTCTCAAATGCGATCTATGGATTGGCAAATGGTTGAGGTTCAGAGTGAGAGGGCTATTCAGGGACATCGAAACTCGTCCCACAGCCACAACTACTTATAGCCCTGGGGTTGTCGACGATTTTGAACTGGCTTCCAATCAACTCCATTGTGTAGTCGACCGTGCTTCCGCGCAAAAGCTCTAATGATGCCGAGTCCATGACAACCTTGGCTTCACCTCTAAGAGGCTGTCCATCCGCCGCTAAATCGCCGACGTCTGCTTCAAAAATCGTGTCTTCTGGATCGATTTTGGACGCTGGATCAAGCGACATCATGTACTGGAAACCATGGCATCCGCCACTGGACACGGTGACACGAAGGTGGTCATAAGGTCCATCTTTTACGGTGGACGACTTCCCCGAGGATGGATCGGTAATTTCTCGTAGGCGCTTGTTGGGTAAAGCATTAGTAGATTTCCAAAGATTCAAGACAAAATTAAAGACAGAATACCGACGCAAATGCGCGACTAGATATAACGAAGAAGAAAAAACATAATATACAAAAACTTCCATTAAAAACATACGACAGCCGGGATTCGCTGGTGGTCACCCACCCAACTACTAGCCGGCCGGCGAGTGGCTTAAGTTCGGCTGAGCGGACGGGAAGCCCTGTTTTCCACTTCCTGTGGTCGTATGTGTTTGTTTATTCTTCACGCCGCATTAAATAGCAGCCCAGACGTGGTCAAACCTCCGATAATGATAGACAACATTGTTCCGCCAAAACCATCTCTTCCTGCGCAATTGCCGCAACGAAGAAGCGCATAACCTTCATCAATCGCAACTGTATCACCCGCAAGACATAAAATGTTCCCCTTACCTTTGCTGCACGAGGCGAAATATTAATCATCATGGGCTTCCCCTCATCATCGGTCCGCGGGTTCAATATCGCCTTTGCCCAGTGCTTGGGTTGCGTTGTCGAAAATGTGGATGTTTGGTTCGAGGAAGAAAAACGAGTGGATTTTCGGGGCCCTAGGCTACGTCGAGAATTCGAACGATGGGTATATGGAAGGAGAAACGGAAGCACCGGCTGAATCGTATGTGAGGCATAGCATCTGCATGAGGCGGAGTGGTTTGCGGCTATAGACATAGTCCTCCAAGATTGTTGAACGAAAACTGCGGCAGATGATACATTCTGCTGCGAAAGGCAACACCTTGTGAGCGACAGTATCTGCTGGTTCATGGCTGCGATAAATATGCATGACACCAAAATCCCGTATCTTATCCCATCAACAATATATTCCATTGAGGGGGAGGAAAAGGGGAAAGAAATTTTTGCAGCGGATATTCAGAAAACCTGGAGCTTGGATTACTAAGAACGACAAAATCATTGGCTTCCCTCTTATTGGCCATAGCTCTTCACCGCCTTTCGACCATCGCCTCGAGGGACATCAACAGGTATTAAAAATGGATATTTAATTCGAGTTATGCGTCTCAATATTTTGATTCAATCAAAAATGTACAGTATGACCTTCTCCTTGCCTACAGTATTAACAAGACCACAGGAATTTCCTCACAGGGTAATGTGTCAAACAAGAATTGATGGTTGCAAGTAAATGCCGAAATAATGGTCAAACCTCCCAACATTTAAAACCCCGAAACACGACAAGGACACAACCAGAGGGTTTTTTCCTTTTTTTTCTCTTTTCTTCCTTTTTTTTTTTTCTCTCTTTTCTTTCCTTTTTTTTTCGGGCTTTCTTTGTGGAGGTTTCAGAGCTTTTCAACTACCCAGCTATCCAAACATAAACAACCCGATCGTACAGAGCAAGAAAGTAACTATGCCGAAACAAAGATCCCCTCAAAGTACTTTTACTCGGGGAAACGCCTCATCAAATCCTCAAGACGGTCGATGGGCGCCTCCAAGAAGCTCACAACAGACTCAAAAACTGGCTCTTTGGGAGCATGCAAGTGTATGCGAGTTGGCACGAACATCTTCGTGCGTTCAAATTTCTTCGCCAGAGATTCAGATTCCTCAGGCTTAATAACGGATTCCAAAGATGCCAAATCCTCTTCCTCTTCCTCTTTGATATGTGTGTTCAACCGGGTCATGATATTTTCCAACATGGGTCGGAACTCTTCATCCTGGGCGGACATACTCTGGAACTTGTAGAGCTGCTCCTTTATCTGTTTTGTCGGTTTGGGAGGATTGAAAAAAGTTAGTTAAATCACCCACCTGTTTTGGCAAGCAATTTGATAGGTGATTAGACGTGGTGAGTAGAATGAGGACGGACCTCCTGCTGCTCTCGCCGATCTTTGTCGGCCATGACCTTCCCGTGATCAATATACGTCTCCAGAGCCGGATAGACGACAAGTTCTTCAGCTACAGCATAACGAGCAAGCTCCCACGTGAACTGTTATGTGTCATTATCCGATATTAGAAAGATTCATTCCTCTAACAGATGTAGGATATGTACCTTATTCCCCCAGCGTGTCCCCGTGTCTTCATCTTCAGCCTGTAGGATTTTGTCATGGTATTCCCGCAGCAACTGGTGGTCTTCCTTCACAGCTTCCGAGATCCGAACCATCCTGTATAGTGGATATATGAACCGGTTCTTAGTCGCAGAACTTGAGAGATAACCAAAGGTTGTTCAATCACTTTCCCTTGTTGTTAAAACGAATATCCTGTTTCAATCAGGCATCCGATCGGGAATTAACGCAAGTCGATGTTGCTGTGGCGAAAGACACCTCTGTATGGAAAGGCAAGACTTCTCTGCGTCATTATGATGATACCAATCTTTGAATTCACCAATTCCGTAAAATTGCATTGATTTTAACTTTACAACCCTACAGCCGATGAAATTCAGCTTAATGTTAGGACTACAGATAAGACTGGTTAAGAGGGAAATCCATGACGAAGGGGTTCAGAGCCATGGATGGCGAAGATATAAAACTAGCTATACAGGATAAAGCTAGGCCATTTTCAGCTAACTAACTAGTTACATCCCATTAGGTCTCTGGCTTATGTAGTTCCATGTTTCATCGATCTACTCACATATGAAATAGTAGAGCACAAATTTACTAGCCACTCTGATTCGTATGTTGTGAGTTCCCTATTTGACTGTCAATACAGTAAATGGGAAAAGGGGCAAAACCAATAGAACAGGAAAACATGAATAATAAAAAATTCATACAGCAGGAGAACCTTCACCAAGAGTAACCTTCGTGATCCTCACCTCTACACGGGGGAGGGAAACCAGCAGGCAATTACTCAATCATTTTCCGGACCCCAGTGGGCACCTTCACTACATGGATCCCTATGGATGAAAAGTGCCAGGTTGCTTCCCCATGACGAATCCGACAATGTGTGTCATAATCATTGTCATCCACATATATATGCTCCTCAACACCTGGATTCGTCGCTCGGGCCATGCAATCGAGACACAAGCCATCGAATAGTGATAGAACGGTGTAATGAATTTGGACCAAGAGCGCTTTCCATTTGTGACCGCAGTGGATACATGATGGCCGAGTGGTTCCTCCGCCTCCAGGCGACATATTCGACTCGTCGAAGTTGATACAACGGTCGACCATGTCACGGACGCTGGTGTCTTGGAACGTGGACTCCAGAGGCCAAACTTTTATTCTCTTCAACTCCCGAAGGTAGTTGAATACGGTCTGTTCCTTACACTCGCACGTGGCAGATGAGACAATCGTTTCAAGATGATTGAAGAGTCCCTTGTGGATAATCTTTCGAAAATGTTGTCGAGCTGCGTTAAGTCGTTCTAATTCCCCGTCAATTAGATTCCTTAGCGTCGTGTCACGGCAGATTAAAACTGACATGGATATTCTTGGACGCGAAAACAACACTTACTAGGAACAACAGCGGGCAACCCTACATGATGGAAAGGAGTTGGGTTATTTTCAGAAATGTTGTCGGTATCTTCGTAAACCAGACTACTTGTTAAGACTTGGAATCCATTCGCAAAGTTGAAATAATAACAGGGAAAAAGCATCTGGCGACAGTGGATGATATTGGAGAATATCTGGTCTATTTTGGTGTAAAACCACTTCACAAACCATGGAGCCATGTCGTTGCGATCAAATCCGTACTTGTAGCCGGCTATGATTATGTACCACACATCGACAATCTGAATAGACGGTAAATGATCGGAAGCCAATTCGGAATGGAATAGCCGAAACCACACCTCCATGCTCTTAATTGTATCTTTATTTAACGTAATCATTTCTTTCTTCCCGGTTTGCTGTTTCCCATTAAGCACACACTTGAAGTATGAACTGTGCGCTGCCAGCTTTGAGCTGTCAACCCGTAACATTGCAGATTTCTCTCGTTCTGTAGTTGTCGTAACCGACTCCCTTCCGGTGTCATTCTCAAAAATTTGCCTATCCCGAATTGTTTCGTGCTCAGTGATGTTTACCACCAAATCACCATCTTTAGCGATTTCAATGATTGCACCTTGGTTGGTGGTGGGTCCATTGTAGGTGCTCGTAGTGTCCATGTTGAGTCTAATTTCTCAAGCACTGTTGGGGTGTTCTGCAGAAATATTGTTGATGATCAAAGCATGTGGAGGCTGTTTGATCTATGTCGCGAACTTGCAGGAATTTATATTATTCCATGATCTTTGAATTCAGTCGGGAAATGTAGTGCAGTGTAAAAAAAATGTTCCTGGTTTCGCGGCATAGATGTAAATAGGATGCCATAGCACAGACGGAGCAGTTGAGGTGCTCCTGTAAGAAACGGAAAATGTGAAACGCAGAATAAACATAAAAATCAGTCAATTCGCTTGATTCAAAACGGATAAAGAGGGAGCCAATTTTCAACGGAAAGCTCAAGCCAGCCGGAGCAGCTCAGAACAACTATGAAGTCGGAAGAAGCCACGATCATCTTCACTTTTCAACATATAAATATTCGGCTACTTTTTTTTTTCTTTCACTTTTTTAAAACAGCTGAATGGTTGCACAGATCGTTTGACAGTGCGTTTGCCTTATACATCAATTGTGGAAATAATTGAAGTATATCATGAGTGTGGAAAAAGGATTAAGGATCAGCGTCTGATGCCACATGTGACAGGGAAAGCTTGGCATAGCTTAAACAAAATAAGGTTATCCACAGACTGGTAGATCTAGATCTAGAAGCACACGGACAAAGCTCACGTTTGCTCCACATTTTTCATATATATACATCTTCAATATATACATCTTCAAAGCACAAATCTATAATCAGGTCCAAAATTGTCTTCTGCAATCACTGACTGCACTCCGCTTTCTACTCTCTGTCTTGCTCGCTCAGCCAACGTTCCATATCTAATGTCCAGCTTGCGGTTCTCCCGCGCGAATAGAGTCCGCAACAAGATGGCTAGAAAACAGTTAAATCCCATAAATAATGCACAGATCAGTTGTCCCCTCACATACAGCGGGCCATTGGATTCAGGGAATATGTTGCTTCCTAGAAGCGGACCACATTGGCCGACTATGTTGAGAATTATGATTCCCATTCCACGTCGAGTGTCGGAGCCTTGGTTGTCTTTAACGTCGGTGAGATTGTGAAATGAGTATATGTTGTTTAAATTATTTGCAGTAGCAGAAAATAACTTACTCAAAACCCAAGGCAGAATATTAGCGATGCAAGGGAAGACACCACTGGCAGCGAGCCACACGCCGATATATCGAGGGACAACAGATCTGCATGTAGCAAGCAAAATATACCCAATAACTCCCACAATTGACAAAATCGCAATTACTAGGCCTCGTTGTTGATAGCGATCTGCGACCCACGGGGTGAAAACGCTAATCATGAATGAAAGGAAGTAGGGGGGTGCAGATAATCCCTGGGCGTTGATCGCCGTGAATCCCATCTCCTTTAAAATTGACGGCAGAAATACGGGGAGCGACGAGTAACTGACGTTGCAGCTAAAGTACATAAGCTGCATACATCAGGGTTGAGTATGTTGTTAGTTATCTCACTTAGCAACAATCACCAGAGGAAGGAAGATAACGTACCGCTACCAGCCAAGCTTTTGCATCCATAAGTGTGTCTCCAACTTCCCTCCAGCTAACACCGCCGCCGCCACGGTCAACTGTTCCGACTTGCCTCATTGCCCTAGCCCTAGCTACCTCCTTTTCCTCTTCGGTTAGGAATTTAGCCTTAGCAGGAGAATCGGGAAGAAACCCGAAAACCACCGGCACCATTAATAGGGTCGGTATGCCTTCAACAAGAAATAATAGCCTCCAGCTGGCAAGCTTAGTGTGTGCCAATGTAATTCCGTAAGCCAAAGCCCCAGCAAAGGTGCTGGCCAGGGGAGCAGCAGAGACAAACAAACCGCTTCGGAACCCTAGTTCATTGCGCCGGTAGAAAAAGGAGAGCATGAACGGAATGCCAGGAGCAAACCCAGCCTCTGAAATTCCGAGCAGGAACCGGAGCGCCATCTCTGCTTTCCATGAGAAGACAGCGGCCTGACATGTTGCAACGATACCCCTATTATTGGAAACAAATGTCACCAAAAAATGGGACGGTGAAGAAGTCCATGGAATGTTATGAGACCAACCATGCAAACACGGTGAATGCTGCCCAGATGTGCGGGGGTATAATTTTCCACATCATCCCCTGAAACTGGAAAACAAGATATGAGATATAAAAGCTTGTTAAAAGCCATTCATAGCGGTTGCCATCGAGTTTCAGGTCTTCTTCCATCCCCGCTATGCGTGCATTGCCGATATTGGATCGATCTAGGAATCCGAGAAGATCTGTTAAAAGACACTTTAGTTTCAAGTCTCTTCGATTCCCAAGCTCCCAACATGAATATAAAATTTCTCATACATAAGAAGCCAAGAAGGGTTGGTATCCGCCGATCGAGCTTTCTCACGACTCTTCTCTCGATGACCGAGTCGATATAGCCATATCCACCTGACCCTGCCTCCCCGGTCTGGGGTTTCGTGCTCGCTTCCAAGTCAGTGGGGACATGATCACTTCGTTTGTCGGGGGAAAGTAACTCAGGATCCATGAGAAGGGGGGAGGGGTTAGTTAGTTATAGTCCGCGCACGCCCGCTGGTTACCAAAATATGCTGATAAGGGGGTAAAATAATTCACGAGTAGTTAACAGAGACATTTCCTTCTATATAATGAGAGAGTATGGAAACGGACTTTTTAAATAACTCTCGCTGAAAATGTGTCATGCGACACTGGTTGTTTGCAGCTAGATGAATAAGAATCGGTGCAGATGATCATACGGCATTCATCAGATCTAACAGCCTAACTCCACACCGACACTGACTTATAAGTTAGTTAATGCTCTCAATTGGGCAGTTTTATTATTATTATTTTCTTTCTTTCTTTCTTTCTTTCTTTCTTTCTTTCTTTCATTTTTATTTTAATTTTTAATTTTATTTTATTTTTGATGCCTCCACCTGCATTTCTTTCTTCTGCAATCCAATGACACCATCCCTGAGACCCATGCGATGCGCCGGCTGGTGTTCGACAGACATGTTCCTCGGTGCGAACATCCAGGAGGCGTAACAGGCTTAAGTTCTGCAACGGCATTCGACTTGCCCCGATTCGGCGGGATTTACATCGCCAAAACTAGATAACTAGTAGTAAGGCGGAGAAAACATGGTGGGACGGCCTCAACTTCTCACTCCACAGAATTTCGGGCGATCCGTGTCAGCAAAGCGTAGTTAGTTATCCCTTCACTCAGCCCGCCTCCCCCACTTTTCGGACACGGGACAATCTTCAAGAGGGTTGGAATACAGCGCGCTGACGACCTGTGGAATGAGTAGTTGATGAATCATAATATCGAAACATCGATCAGTCCGAATTGTCTCGTATCAGGCGATTCGAACATGTCCTCTGCTTCCCTTGTAGAAATTGACGCTCTAGAAGCAGTCGTGGTCGTGGACAATGACCTCGACATCATGTCACCACCAGCTCCCAATACCGTGCAGGTGTCCGGTTTTCTAGGCGAGTTGGCCCTGAACTCACCACATCACACGCATGATCGGGCCGACGTGTCCAAAGAGCTTCACCTGGAAGACGTGTGCTGTTCTGCGCACGGCTTATCTGTCCTTGTGGTAGGCTACTACTTCTGCGACCTTCTTTCTCTCTACGAGGAAATCATCCATGATTATTGTTTCCGTCGTTTTGCACCCGGTTAAATAGCGCTAAGCGTACTCTAAGCTTACTCTGATTTACCAAACTAGACCGCCGTTACGGGTGATGAACGCCGAACTATGCTTTTTGACACCGGGCCAACGGAGGAGGCTTGGGGATTGAATGCCGAAAGGCTAAGATTAGATCTGTCTCCCGTGGAGAGGATTCAACTCTCCCACTGGCATCGGGATCACTCAGGTGCGTAGTTTCTGAGGGTGCTGAACCCCCTTTTATTTAGACCATTTAACTACAGAGAGAGGGGTTCATCATCATCAATAAAGTTTCTGTTGGTATATACCGCTAAAACCACCCCACAGGTGGCATGCTCAATGCTATCCGGATGATCAAGGAGGCAAAGAAGGGGAAAGGCCTGTCCAACGAAGATCTTGTCGTGGACGTGCATCCATCTCGTCCCGATTATCGAGGTTTCCGCACAGGGGCGGAATCGGTCTCGCTCCAAGCTGACCCAACGTTCCAAGAGATCGAAAACGCTGGAGCAAAGATTGAGAAGCACAGGACGGCACATACCGTCCTGGATGACATGTTCCTCATCTCGGGAGAAATACCCCGAGTGACGGAGTATGAGACCGGGTTGAAGTATGGAATGCGGTTCAGCAAAGCCAAGGGAGAATGGGAAAGTGACGAACTGATTAGTGACGAGCGGTTTCTCGCATGCAATGTCAAAGGTGCGTGATTCCCGAGCAGATAGCAGGTTCAAGTTTTCCAGCTCGTTTCTGTTTGTTTCTTCTAACTGAAAATCGCTATTCTGCAGGGAAGGGCATCGTGGTTTTCAGCGGGTGTAGCCATGCGGGGGTTGTGAACACCACGAAACATGCTGTGGAGTTGATCGGTAAAGATATCCCCCTGTACGCGGTTTTTGGCGGATATCATCTGGCAACCAGTGAGAAGGCCCAGATAGATGCCACGGTCAAGGACCTCAAAGCTCTGGATCCAAGGGTTTTGCTGCCCGGCCATTGCTCCGGCTGGAGAGTCAAATTTGAGATTGAGAAGGAGATGCCGGGTCGTTTGGTGCCATCTTCGGTTGGATTCAAGGTGGGATTCTAGCTTCAACCAATCCTGTTGACGCACGCAGGTGAAACCCGACATACAAGTAATTAGTTAGTAACTCGAGATAGTTTATTCGTCCCGGTAACTAGTTAGTTAGCAGCTAACTAGTTACAGATGGGCTAGCTGAGCAGTTGATTAGTTAGTTAGTTACGCGCAACAAGAAATAAATACATTTACATCCTGAACTTTCCACCGGCTCACATACGTTCTGGTGACCCTGCAAAGCTATTCAAACCAGGCGCGATATCAAAACTACCGCCCAACCAGCCATTGAAGCAAACCAACAACACAACCGGCACGACACAACAACAATGCGTTTAACCCCGGCTTGCATCGGTTGCCTGACTAACGTCGCAGCAACCCGCTTAACTACTGCAACTTCCAAGGAAGCCCGCTGGAGCCCGGCCTGATACCAGCCAACAACGGCGGAGCCAACTTTTATTATTACTTATTGGGCGTACATCGGTCCACCGGAACAAACGATACATCAACGATTCTTCCCTTCAATCTCGCTGCTCGCACGCCTCCTCTCTAAAAGAAACAACACCCTGCTCCGTTTGACGAAGTTGGGAACTTGCAATTGGATTGATCGTTACAGAGCTTCGACGGCCCGCTCTGCCAGAACGATGTTGTCCCACGCCCAACCCACCCCCACTTTTAAATGGAAGGACGACGTCAATGCCTTGACGAGAGAATTCGCAGCGTTGCTGGATGCTCAGGATCCCCTTGCGCATTTCCGCGAGAATTTCATCATTCCAACCAAGCGGGACCTGACCAGGACGACAATTGTTGCGCGCGAAGAAGGTATCCTCAAATTTAATGCCCCTTCGGCTCTCGCCCACTCTTGATCCTCCCTCCCTATCGCCAAAAAAAGGAAAAAAGAAAAGAAAAGGAAAGAAAAGAAAAGAAAAGAAAAGAAAAGAAAAGAAAAGAAAAAAGAAAAAAAGAAAAGAAAAAAAAGACCCAATTATCGATACCTCAAAATTCTAACTTCTCATGACCAGAAAATGCAAACTCTCCTCCCTGCACATATCTCTGCGGCAACTCTCTAGGCCTCCAGCCCAAGAGCACCCGCACATATGTCGATAGGTTCTTGCAAACTTGGGCGACCAAAGGTGTGCTAGGTCACTTCACGAACTATGACGATCAACTCGGGGCGCCATACATCGATGTGGACACCAAGGCCGCAACTTTGATGGCGCCTGTGGTGGGCGCCCTACCAGGTGAGGTGGCAGTCATGGACACGCTGACCACCAACTTACATCTTCTCATGGCGAGCTTCTACCGTCCCACGACGGAGAAGTATAAGATTATCTTGGAAGGGAAGGCGTTCCCAAGCGATCATGTAAGTATACGAAGAAGATTCTGGATATGTATATATATATATATATATATATGAGCGGCCCGCCATGAAGAGATATAATTCAACTAATCCCTCTCGGGCACAGTTTGCCGTGGAATCACAAATCCAACACCACAACCTCGATCCCGCTAATGCTATGGTCCTCATCGAGCCAGATGATGTCGACAACTCGCTCATATCCACGGAGAATATTCTCTCCGTCATCGACGAACATGCCTCGAGTACTGCCCTAATCCTCTTACCAGGCATCCAGTATTACACGGGCCAGTACTTCGACATTGCTAGAATCACAGCGCACGCGCATTCCAAGGGCATCATCATCGGTTGGGACTGCGCACATGCCGTTGGAAATGTCGAACTACAATTGCATGACTGGAACGTCGATTTTGCCGTGTGGTGTACATACAAGTACGTGAATTCCGGCCCCGGCGCAATGGGCGGCCTGTTTGTCCACGAACGACACGGAACCGTTGACGTGAATGGCGCGAACGGACTAAGTTACCGACCGCGACTGTCGGGGTGGTGGGGAGGGGATAAAGAAATCAGGTTCCTGATGGATAATAGTAAGCTCAACCCCCCGACAACAACATAAAATGAAAATGAGTCCCATCATCTAACCACAAAGTTAAATTAAAAACAACAATACAGAATTCGTCCCTCGTCCCGGTGCCGCAGGCTTCCAAATCTCCAACCCCTCCATTCTCGATCTCTCCGCAGTAATCGCCTCTTTAGAACTGTTCTCCGCTGCCACCATGCCTGCGTTACGGCAGAAATCTCTCCAACTAACCGCTTACATGGAACACCTCTTGCTAAACTCCTCCCCACGGCAACAGCAACCGGACTCCAGACTCTTTTCGATCATTACACCATCGAATCCCTTGGAGCGGGGTGCGCAGCTCAGTATCCTGCTCCGTGAGGATTTACTGGATGACGTTTTCAAGCGGCTGCAGGATAATGGGATTGTGGTGGACGAGCGGAAGCCAAATGTGATTCGGGTAGCGGCGGCACCCTTGTATAATTCTTTTGCGGAAGTGTGGGAGTTCTGCCGGGTGTTTTTAGAGGCATGCGAGGAGGTAGACAGAGAGAATCAGAGCAGAAAGTAATTTGGGGGGGTTGGGAAGTTGGGAGGTATGATGAAATGAAGCGTGGTGTTTTTCTCTTACTTAGCGTTCATAGGTATTTTATATTCTTACACAAAATCACAGGAAATAGAATAGGTAAGAGCATAAGAGGGCAAATATGAATTGAGAATGGCGATTTGTGGTATGTCAACCGTGCAGGACACATCAGAATAATCCAGTGGCTGGAGACTTGAGAGCCTGACTGAACAGCCCCCGATGCGGAACTCTTGTGGCACCATTTTCTTAATTTTCGACTAAATGGAACTGAAAACGTATATTATTACGGAAACCTGGAGAATTATTTACTATATACCCTTCAAACAAAGAAAAAAAAAAAAAGAAAGAAAACTGGGTAAATGGAGTTTAAATAACAAATTCTTAAGGTCAAGAGAATAAAAGAAAAAGGAACAGAATAAATTATCCAAGGGAAAGAGAGTGTTTGTGAAAAGAAAAAAGGTGGCTGTCGCGACTTCATCTTGTAGAATCCAAAGTGATTTGGGGGCGGGGGCGTATATCACTTTCGCCAGAAGAGCCGATTAAAGTCCAAAAAGGAGTGTTTTTTTATTACACCCAGAGGGGTTTCCCTCCAATCAATGGAGCTCAAATCGTAAAGCCCCTTATTCCGCACACTTAATAACTTTCAATAACTTTCAATCTCTTTTCAAATGTGAAGTAGCTCTCCCGTCGCTTGCCCCCCAGTAGCCCCTGATTGATATGCCTGGTGCTGGTTCTGATTAACCATATAATGGGTCTGCGGCGCACCACCACCTTCAAACCCATTGTTAATGTTCATTGCCTCCACTTGTTGCGGACCAACACTAGCGAAGTAATCATCCGCGGCACTCACAGCGGCAGAGAGGTTGCCTGAACCAGGAGCGGCGGGCGCGACAGCGTTGGGCGTAACATTCGATCCCGATATGAACGACGAAGAAAGATCTCTGGTCTGGCCTAGTGGTTGTTGTTGTTGTTGTTGCTGCAAGGCCGGGCTTGGGGCTAGGCGTTTAGCACGTGCGCTGCGAAAGACCTGCTGAACGGGTTTTAGATAGACGGTTGCGAGGGTTCCGACGTTGAGACATAATTCTTCGAGGATTGCGGGGTCAAGCTTCTCGCTTTCGGCAGTTATGGGGGGTTTTTCGCCCATTACGATGGATCTTGCGGCATTGGGGTCTGTAGAGAGTAGTCGCCAGTACATGTAACCACGATCACGGAGGTCCGGGTCATCGGTTTCCTCTGTGCACCATTTGAGAACCTGAGGGACAAGTTGTTGGCCTTTTGTTGGGCGCTGGATAAAGAGTTTGACGGTAGCTGTGAGAAGGGCAAGTTGGACTTCGACGGTCTCATCATGGAAGGTAGCCAAATAATCCTGGAGAAAACCTTCTGAATTTTCGATACGATCAGCATACTGGCCAATTATCCAAATAACTGCTGCTTTCGCTTCGGGCTCGTCCAACTCGTCGATATTCTGAATAACCGTGCCGATAATGCCCTCATACTGGTTGGGGTATTTTCGGAATATATTTCGAATAACAACTGTGGCTTCTTGAACGATATAGGGAATTTTAGCATTCACTAAGTCGATGAGAGTCTCGATACAACTCCTTGCAGCAGATTCAATTTTGATGGCTAATTTACCAATCGCACGCACAGCTTTGCGCACGAAATGGACATCAATTTCTGTAGCATATCTGTATGTGACGTTAGTGATGAATAATAGTTGAGAACTTAACTCGCTGAAGATCGTTCGGAACTTGACTTACTCCCTTAGTTCGGTCAGAACGACTGAAATATTGTCCTCCGTCGCTAACATGAAGATCAACTCCAATTTTGTCACTTTAACATAAATTGGGTCATTGTATTTGCAGAAAAACACGCGGATATCGTTTCGCAACACTTCTGGGCGCCTCTGTAATATCAATATCGCATTGCGGAGTGCGAGGTACTGCACCTCTGGGCCTTTAGATAAAAGGGTAACTAGGGGAGGAGAAAGCTTCCGCGACAAGTAGGTGATTTGCTTTTGATCGGAAATATAGTTCATCAGGTAAAGAATAACTCGGATAGAAGTCAAGACAACAGCTGAATTAGAATGCGAAAGCCGAGGTGCAATTCTTTCGGCTAAGAGAAGTGCCTCTGAGCATTCCTGTGGCACGTAAGACATTAATGCTTCGAGTACATACGTTTGGCCCCATCTAGATTTTGTTAGCACTTATGATGCAACCTTGGTCTTAGAATCAAAACAATTGGGGAAGGGGGGGAAGGGGAGAAGGAGAAAAACGACATACTCGGAGCAGTCCGGTAGAATGGAGATTATTTTGGATGCGCTTTTATAATCAATCGTAAGAGTAATAGAATTGCTCCTTTCCCAAAGATCCGTCAGTGCCGCAAGAGCACTTGACACAACAGTTGGGTTGTCATCCTTGAGCATGTCGTTCAGTTGGAGGATCAAATCGGACCTTTCCACAAGCTTTCGGTCGTGATCATAAAGCTTCGCGACACAAAATGCAGCAGTCTTTCTGACATAGGGATCGTCATCTGCCAATAGTTGTTTAAGCGGCTGGATCGTCGCCTCCACAAATTCACGAACATGTATGCAGGATATCGTTCGCAAGGCAAGCGCCCGTACCAGGGGGTTAGAATCGTCCATATCCTGTACAATTTCGTCAGCAATGGTCCCTAACATGGATATATGAAGATATACGGAGTTTATGTAAATCCCTTGTCAGTATTCATACATTTATCAGTATTGGCAGAGCCTTTAGAGCGACTTCTGGCTTCAACCTGGCGTAGTTGACGAGGAACAAAAAGCACCTAATGTTCATGCCATCAGCTCTATTGTGTTCACCATCCCAAAACTAACACTCTCGATCCGCGTACATTTTCTTAATCTCCAAGCTTGGAATATTCATGCAACCAATGACGTCAGGGAACAGCGCGATCATATCGTTATTGCTCATTGTCATATTGGCGACGATTTTCTTTAGCGTTATTTTCTTCGCAGAGTGGTTTCGATCCTTCTTGCCGCCACTGTTGAGCTCCTGGCGGAGCTCCGCGACCTTGCCCTAAGGAGAGAGACGGTTAAAGGTCGGCACAGCATATAAACATTAGAAGCGATAAAGAAGGCAATACATATATATATAGCAACGGGACAAACGAAGGTGGAACAGGGCGAGGATGGTGAGACTATAGGGTATTTGGAGTATATATTTCAAGAAAAGACGAAGGAAGTCTTCTGCATATATAAACCAGAGCTGGACGAGGCAACCCGCAACTATGAGGGCGACAGAAGATACAAGTGGAAAAGAGACAGAGGGCAGATATGACATACTCTTGCGAATAGCTTCGCATCTCCCCCGCTAGAGCTCATCTTGACTGAGTCGTTGTCGGTCTGGCAGGGTTACTTCAAGCAAACGGCATCACATGGAACGCTTCGCATTGTATAGGTCTGTATAGATGAGATCAACTCTTCAGGACGGCTACCAAGGTGTCCATGTCGCACCCAGTATAGTGTATAGGAGACAAAGCTGCCGATTAGATGGGAGGAATATGTAGAGAAGGTGGAATTGTCCTTGGTGTTGGGGTGAGGTTGTAAAGGGGGAAGGTTGTTGAAGTGTAAGGAGGTTGGAGGTTATTTATTATAGGATCCGGTCCATATTATTAGTTACGTTAACTAATAGTTAACTAAATATGGAGCAGTTGAGCCGCACTCCGGAGAAATAAATCGGACAGTCAAACAACCTCAACAACTCTACATGTCAGTGACAACTAAATACTACAACTTCTGTGAAATCTTACCAGCCTACTATCCTGTCGCCTATCAAGTCAGGTTCTTAGAAATATACAATGGTTTATCCTGTTCGCAAAATGGTTCCACCAGCCACACCTCCGCCTCTGCCTCGATGGGTCATTGACATAAACGCATCAGCACCTCCTCGACCCTCAAAAACAGCCGACATACCCAATCCACCAGGCTATACTCCTGACAATGCTGCAAGCAAACACAGTGCGAAGCAGGTATGCAACTCAGAAATCCTCCTTTTCCAATCCAGAAAAGGAAATGTGTAATATCAAAAGCCAGCCAACAACCTGACCCATTTCCTTTCAGCAACGCACTGCCCAACAAGCCCAACAACAGCAAACACCCTCCTCCAGCGCAGCGGCCGCCCGTAAAGTCGCGGAGACCGATGCCCTGAAATTGAAAAAGGCATGGGAAATAGCCCTAGCGCCCTCGAAGCAACTACCCATGAACGCGATCATGATGTACATGTCCGGCAACAGTCTACAGATCTTTAGTATCATGATGGTCTTCATGCTATTTAAGGGACCCATCCAGGGCCTCCTGAATACGAATAGCGCGTTTACGAAGTTTGAGACGGAGAGCACCAAGGGGCAGATGTGGGGTGTTAAGGCGGTGTATGTGTTGATGCAATGTGTACTGCTGGCGCTAGGGGTGTGGAAAGTTAACGGGATGGGGTTGTTGCCGTATGATCCTCTTTACCTCTTTCTTCTTATCCTACCCCATTTGTATAAGTGGCGATATATGGTGCGGTATCGGTTAGATGCTAACTTGAAATGTGACCTCAGGACTACAAGATCGGACTGGTTAGCATGGGAAACGGAGCGTCAGCCGCTTGAAAGAGCATATTTTGCGTTCAGATGAGGTGAGAATACACGTTTTTGAGTACGATTATACTTATTTTAAATGACAGCACGCTTAGTGATATATTTATATATATTTATACCATAATGTCTTGTCCATTTCCCATTTAGACAGAATCTATTTTGAATGTCATGGCATCTTCATCATTTTTGATATAAAAAACATTCCATGACCATGAATGGAATCTACAGCTCTATGCGTGTTGGAATGAGAAACGGCGGAAGTCCCCCTGCTTGCTGTGGCAGGCAGGTATGCCATACTTCCTAGCTATGCGGCGGTAGCAGCAGTCAAGGATAATGCTGTTGGAGATGGAGGCAATGAACGCTCTGACGCCAATTGGGAGGTAACAGAGGCCGATTTGGAAGCCGTAGATTTCGTAGATTTCGTAGAAGAGGGAGGTGACAGTGGTTTCACGTCGTAGAATGTGGCATACAACATGACGATTCTCCTCACGATTTGAAATAGTTGATAGATGAGATGAGGGTCCAGCATCAGACACAATGCCTGGTTCTGCTTGGAGAACTATTTAGTCTATGTTTTTTAAGCGTATTTCCCCGTCATCAAATGCGTGGGCAGATAGCTATTTTGGAAATAACAGCCAGAGTAAATATCCAATCTTGCGACTATTAACTATCACAAACTAATAACTATATTCCCGGACACATGTTGGAATCGTGGCGAATCATTTGTCACCCCTGTTAATGAAACAAGCAAACTTGGGTTAATACATCCACAATCGCCCATCCTGAGTATTGAAAGTTGCTTGTTTGGTTAGACATTACAACTGGCTTCAACAGGGTGGGGAAGGGATTGAGAGTCTCGCTACTCTGTACTGTGGAAGGGATTTGCAGAGCTGTGTGTCTCGGAGATTTCGGCTGATTCTGTCTGGGGTCCTGGATTCATGGCTGTCGAAGAGCAGTTCGATGACATTTTCAACCGGCTTGGCTTGAGGGATAAGATGCGCCTAGAATCAGGTGTTGAAGATCCACAGATGGATTCGATAATTATGGTTGAGCATGGATGGTTATGGATGAAGGACTTATCTGGTAAGCTTCAGCTAGACAAACGCATTTTCCAAAGGAATATTCCAATTGGCCTTGCGACTTTCTGCCCATGATGTAACTAGTTACAATTGTTAAAGTTGTTAAAGGAATGTGTGTAAAGCACAGAGAATGAACTGTTGACAAAATAAATAAAAAATGCTAATATTAAAACCAGTTCCAAATGTATGCATTTTCAAAAGTATCGAAGGCAGCAGCAGCTCAGTATAGGTAAGTTAAGAGGGATGGGAATCTAGCATATTGATCCCTACAGAAATAATAATGATAATAGCAATGATAAAATGATAACTATAACAATATCTTCTCTCAACTTCAGGTTCGTATATAAGTGTAAGTGTTATCAATCTGCATCGTTCATCTAGATGTATAATTCTTGCAAGGGAAAAGCGAAGAAGTCGAACGTTTCAAAAAAGTGAGAAAGAAAGAGGCAGAGGGAAAACATAAGAAAAGAAAGCCATATCGTAAATAATAAACTATACTGCTTTCTTTATACTACCTCATCAACCTAAACCCTTATCCTCAATCCACCAACGTACAATCCACCTTAAAAAAGACCTCTTACATCAATCCCACCCTACCCAACTCCGCGGCATCACCCTCCAAACTCTACACTCTCCACTCTTCAAATCGCCCAACTTAAAACTTTCAATCTTAACTTTCTTGCTCTCCCTCCCCTGATCCCACGCTCGTATCTTCTTCTTCGTTCCATCCCAATCAACCACAACACCCACATGATCTGGCTTGCCAACATCTGCATTATACTTCTGATGCATTGTGCCACGGTGACCCTGGAACCGCGCATTGCGGAACGTAACAATGTCGCCCGCTCTGATCTCATCGACTTGCTGCACGGAAGCGTTGGCTAGATTGGCGTAGACGAGGGCGCCATAGGCGCGAGTCCCGACAGGGGGGAGCGCTTCTGAGAGTGGTGTTAGAAGGGACAGAATGAGGCCGTGCGGTGTGCCATCGGCAACAATGGTGTTTTGTTTTGCCGTTACGGCATCAGATATGCGGGTGCCGAATTGTTCGTGGGCGCTTTCAAGTTGGTCCTGTCGTAGGCGTTGAGGTGGTGGTTCGTGGTGTTGTTCGAGGACAGCGTCGACGGGGTTCTTCGAGTTGAAGCGTACAGTTATTATGGTCTGTGAGTAATCCATGAAGAGCACGTAGACGACTTTGGAGACTGTAGTGTCGCCGCCGCGGTTTGTTGGGGTTGACTGTTCCATTTCAAAGAGGACGTCACGCCGATTCTGGAATGCGGGCGGAGGCATGTCTGGTTGTGTCCACCAGAGTGAGCTTGCTCCTAAATCCACGTCGCTCGCAATATATCCTTGATCCCCTGAAGGTCGGGCAACTTCCATTGATCTGCGAACGCTTGGAGTGGATCTGAGGGCATCCATGGACTGTCTTGGCGGGTTACGTGATGGAAGAGGTCCCGGGGCAGCCCGTTCAGCAGGGGGTGGAGGACGGGAGAGTGTCGCCGAGTACAGGTTATCGTCGTCATCCTCCTCTGGAGGGATTCGCATTGGTAGATTCAATTCGACTCGCGGTGCAGTAGAAGGTATGCTTGGGGGTATACTGGGGGGCCCGGTAGAAGGTGCGGGTGGGCTAGCACTATGACGGAAAGGATCATATTCATCACTATCATCTGATGCTTCATTTACAGTTTGATCCTTAGCAGATGGGACTGGTAGGGGAGGCCCCCTAGGGATGTCTGCCGATTTTCGTGCGTTCTTCGGAGGTTGCATTGGGGGAGGAGGTGGAGCTGCACGGGGAGCTGTAGTAGATGGGATAGGAGGCCGTGTACCTTGGGGGCTTCTGGGAGACTGTGCGGAGAATTCATCGGTAATGGTGCCTTCATCAAGGCTAGAATCGCGTCCATGAGCTTTCAAAGCATCTTTGTGTTTGACCCCCGATGCAATGTCTGTGTCATAATCCCCATCATACTCAGTAACTTCTTCTTCGCAGTTGTTCCCTGACTGGGCGGTTGGAGTGGATATGCTCATTTTACTGTCAGTATTAGATTTGCGATAAGGCATAGGTGGCAGAGGAGGGGGTGGACGGCTGTGCCCTGACGAGGGTAGTGGGGGGCTAGCAAGGGGTATTGGAGGAGGTCTATGGCTGGCGAATTGTTGCCTCGGTGAATGCGGCACGGTGTCCCGGTCTGAAACATCGAAACCAGTGTCAGGAGATTTTTGACCACTGGCTTGGGGAGCAGAGAGTTCATCGTCAGATTCGCTTCCAAGGCTTGGCGAGGCAGCCAACATCGAGGGAAGTGTTGGTGGAGGTCGAGCTTCAACAAGATCAGTATTGTATTTGACAATGTTGAAGAAACAACAATTCGATATAGAACTTACATTCAGCGGGAACGGGTGGAGCAGGGGGCTCTGTTGGAAGTGGTGGCGGGGGAACAGACTTTGATGTATGGGATGGAAGTCCTTGTGGAGGTCGGGCTATGGAAAGCAGAGTTAGATATCACACACATATTAATACTTAAGAGAGTGAAAAAAGTATATACCTTGAGGTGGAGGTGGGGGCGGTGCCCGATCTAGAGAGGGCCGTGGTGATTCAATGTTTTGTGGCTCCTCGACTAGTGGCTCAGCAGTTTTTGGAACAGGAGTTGGTAGGTGTTCATCCTCATCGCCTGGCTCTGAATGCATCTTAGGCGCTTCCGCAACTTTTTTGGCGTGCATTCCCGGCAAGGCCATTAGTTGGACAGGAGGAGCGTGTACAGTGTGGGAAGAATACTGGCTGTCATCAGAAGCCTTCCGCTCAGCTTCAGCAGGTGGCGGTGGTTTCGACTTGCGAAACCCGCTGGCAGGGGGAAGTCCTCCTGGAGGACCAAACATCCCCATCATTCCCATACCTCCGCTCACCTTAGCCATTCGTTCACGAATTTCCATACGTCGTCGAATCTCGGGGTCTATTTCTTCTTCCTCGTCCTCCTCATCCTCCTCGTCCTCCTGGACTTCCCCTGCTTCCTCACCCACAATATCACCCTCTATGGTCCTTTTTCTATCCGATGAATCCCGATTATTCCGCCCGCGATTTGGCTCGTCCACATCCTCTCTTCCGGTAGATCCTTCGTCAGCGTCTTCTGTATCCCCTGCACCGGAATTGTCCGCATCGTTGGTATCACTAGTGAGTTCCCTTGAGGGCTGGGAGGGAGAGACTGCTCTTTCGGGTGAATGGCTACCTTCATGGCGGGTAGCCACTGCATTGGGATCCTTGGCCGTTTCAGAGGTCTCTGTCCTTTCCAACTCAACACCTTGGGCGGAGCTAGGATGTTCCACCCGCTCCCGAGACTCCACGCACTTCTTTGCGGGCTTTTTAGGCTTCTCTTTCTTATGGGCTGCATCTGCATGCCGTGCAGCCTGCTCAAGCTGTTGTTTTTGCAGCAATGCAATCCGCTCCTTCAAACTTGTCGGCTTTGGTTGGTCTTCAGTGTCATCATGTGTATCCGCAGATATGACAGGTCGTTCTGATGCGGGCCTGTCATGGCTGGTACGTTCGACAATATCAGGGTCTTCCTCGCGCCTATATACCCTCTGGGGTTGCTCTATGGGTGGTGGTATATACGCATCTCTACTCGGGGGAGGAGGAATGAAAGGTTTCTTGATAAACGAAGCGGACGAAGCGGGTTTGTTAGGGTCAAACGGGGTAATGGGAGCGGCGGCGGGTTTATTAAAAGCGGCAATACGATCTTTGAAGGAGGAAGCGGTGGGTTTTTCTGCAACTGCTGGAGGTGGAGCTTTAGATACCGGTTTTTCTGCCGGTTCTGGCACCTTAGCTAGTTTGGGTGAAGATGGTGCAACTGGAACGGGGGCTGGAGCAGGAGTAGCTTTGACGGGGTTTGGAACAGGCGGAGGCAGAGATTCCGCAGCCTTTTGGTGAATTGGCAGCTGCTTCGGTTCTGGCTCTGGACTTTCGTTGACTATTTGAGAGGATGCCGGAGCAGGTGCGGGGATCGGGTCAGCAGAGGGAGCGGCAGCAACAGGAATGGAGTGTTCTGGTTCCCTTCTAGATTTTGACGGTCTTGCAGGTCTTGGGGGTGTAGCCGGCTCATATCTCTCTACAAAATTCCTTGGGAAAATGCCCTCTCTTTTGGAACCCGAATCATCCACGTATTCTCCAAAGTACCAGTCTTCATCCTCCTCCGCGATCACTTTGATGATCTGGTCGACGGAAAAATTAAGATCATCGTCGTGCTCAGATGTGTATTCATACACTGACCTGACCGTGAACGGAACACCGGACATTTTGGAGAGATGATTGCGACTCGTACAAACCACACTAAGATTGGTGGTGCGTGGAAAATGTGTAGAAAAGATCTCCGGGCTGGGGTTCTCGGAGGTTGGGTGGAGATAGTTTTAAGGGGGCGGGGTGCTACTCTCTCAGGCAGCCGATGACAAGCAACCACCAGCAAAATCGAAGTTTCCTAAAGAGTAGGGGTTATTCCAGGCTGAGCTCTGTTGCCTGGGGTTAAATGGCGAGGAGTGAAACAGCAGTCAAACAGCAGAGTTCATGAACCAACAGCACACGTCAGCCGGGAGAACAGAGTTAGTATTATCCTGGAGAAATAGGGACAAGCGGGGAGTTTCACTATGCAGAAATGGAATGAAGCAGGATAACACAGGCAAAGACAGGCAGGAGACTCAGCCAAAACATGAATACAGGGGTGTCAGGTTAATGATTAATATCTAGCAGCCTCTCCCAAGTGCAAAGTGGAGGAGTGAGGTGTAGTTAGGTAGTTAGTAGTGGGTTGTAGTATTGACTTGTTGAAGTCGGTGGAATGTTGCGAGCTTGTGGCTGACAAATGGCAGATGTGGCTGTTGACATTACGCCACTTCATACACCCGAATAATATATTGACCTTCTCAACCACATCATTCAAAGAATTCTGAATACAAGTCAAGTTAAACACAACAACCAACACAAGCAACAGACAGCAATATATAGTCTGGATTGATAGATCTGCTTGCTCTGGCTGCAAATGCTGCCACTCAATTGAGACCCCCTAACACAGCGCTCTCATTGCTCAAATACCCGGTCTGGTTGAAATTTGTATGGTTTCTGCTATCCAAATAGCGTAAGCCAGAGCTGCCGCGATCTCAGCCCATCCTGTCCATAGGTAGATTGCCCGTTTTAGCTGATGACTGTTACTGATGGCTGTTAGCCATCAAGTCAACAGAATAATAAAAGAAAAGAAAAGAAGAGGAAAAGAAATACACTGGGAATTACATCAGCTGCCCGCGTCGAAGCGAGCATGGCAAATATCAACCCCAACAATATTTCACCCAGAACATCATCCAACATGAAGTCTTCTCTCCCTTCAATACACGCAGCTTTCACCAGAGATACACCCCCCTCCACACGCCCAAACTCCCATACAACCAGACCCACAACGACGACGATGACACCTGCAACAAACCAACGCAAGCCAGTCCCCAACACCCGCCACCTAGCTATAGCTCTTCACCACGCACACCAAATCCAGGCTCGCAAAGATACCGAATCCCTCATCCTCTCCCGCATAGAATACCTCCTCTCCTTCCCCAGCCACCCCTTAGCTCTCACCTCCTCCCCGTCCCCCGATGATGTCAAAGCCTTCAAAGAAGCTCTCCTCCCCTTCCAACCATCCGACTACGACAATCTAATCCTTGAACGGAACATCGAGGGCCGCTGCGGTTACGTGCTATGCGCAAATGAGCATAGGAGGGAGGAGCCGAAGGCTAAATTTAGGGTTGTCTGGGGGAAGAAGGGTAGTGGTCCTGGTGGGCGGGGAAGGGAGATGAAGGTTGTCCCCAAGGAACAGATTGAGAAGTGGTGTTCGGATGAGTGTGCGGAGCGGGCTATGTATATTCGTGTGCAGCTTATTGAGCAACCGGCGTGGGAGAGGGGGCCTGGTAGTGCGGTGGAGATTTTGTTGTTGGAGGAAGGGAGGGCGAGGAGGGAGAGGAAAAGGGAAAGGGAGAGTTTGGTAAAAGTGTGCGGAGAGGGGAAGGGGAAAGAGAGGGAGAGCGAGAGTGAATTGGTGGATGAGGAGCGGGTAAGGGATACGGGGGATATTGATGAGGCTATGCGTAAACTTGTCATTAGTGATAAGAGCTTGGATCCGGAAGGGATTTTGCAGGGTATGGATCAGTTGGCTGTCTACGGGACGGATATGCAGATGGAGGAAAGTAGTAACCATATTGGTCAAGCTGCGCTTGCTATTGAGAGGGGGGATAGCGCTCCGCGACCCGGACTGGATGCTGGACGGGTTGGGGTGAACATCTTTGAGAAGCACCCGCGTACTGGTGGTCTTGGTGCTGTCGAGGCGCCATCAACGCGAATGGAGGATTTACAAGGTGGCTCCATTGAGGGCTTTGACCCCGGGCAGCTTGGTACACCCAGGCCAGATGCAATGGATGGCATCGAGGAGGACAATGACATACTACCAACTATTTAGAGTATGCGTTTCTTTTTGATTTACCTCCGATTTGACTACGGCGTTAACGTAATAGCATACCGTGGCATAACAGTTGGTTTGTATTTTTGCGACAGGAGGACTCTAAATAGCGTTTACTGGGTTTATCAATGGTCGCATCTAGATATTTGCATGGGATACATGCGCGTAAATGCAGTCCTATCAGCTGTTCTGCCACCTACCTTCACTTTCACCAGCTGGGGATTTCCACCTCTATCAATCATTATATTATCGCATGGAAATGGCGGAGGCGAAAACCAAAACCGACAGGGTCACTGTTTGCCAACTCAAAGGAGGCAGGCACAGGGGCAACTGTGTAAGGAAAACGAGGGAACAAATATTGGCAATCAAGCGTCATCCATGAGGAATCAGCGACACCTTGTCATGAGAATAAATACTCTTTCTATTCTTTCCCCCCCCCCCACATCGCATTAACTAGCAACACGGAAAGCTGAAAGTTAAAACAAAAGCCGTCCTCATATGGGTGAGATACAAGGTTAAAATAACGCCTTCCATCATTGCATTGCCAAAATTAAGTGAAAAATAAACAAGCAAGTTTAGCGGGCACCTCCAAAACGACGAGGGCGGTTGTCGCTCTGCTGTTGGGTAACGGGGACGACGTTGACCTTGAGGGTATCGAACTACATATCCGAGAAAAAGTGAGAAAGTTGAGAAACGAACAACCCCACGCCAGCACAAAAGAAAACTTCTTGCAGAAAAATCGACTTACACCGAGGCTCTTGAGCAGATCCTTGGTATCAGCATCAACATCCAACTGTCCACTCTCGGTCTGCGAGACGTCCAAAGCAGAGATCTCGGGCACATATTGATCCTTGCGCTCACGCTCCTCCTCCTGCAGCTTGAAGGAGATACCACGGACGGGACCGCGCTGGATACGTTTCATCAGGTGTGTAGTGTATCCGGCAATCTAAACGCATACTAATTAGGATTTCGAAATTCCTCTAGAATTCCACGAGCTGGCCAACCCCCAGGTGAACTGTTGACAACGAACCTTGTTGCGCAGACGCTTGGAGGCGATGATAGCTATCTCATCACATATGCGCTTGTTGGTCTCAAAATCGAGGGTAAGCTTGGGATAGTACCGCTCGATGATAACCTTGGCGGATTTCTTGACGGTCTATGGGACGGGCCTGGTGAGCAAACCCAGTTCTTGTACTCCGTATCTGGGCTGTAAAAAAATGCATTTGCGGTTTTCATGCTTTCTTACCTTAGTCCGAACACGACCCATTTTGACGGCTTGTTGGTGTGCTTGTTGGATTCGAGAGAGTGAAGACGGGGACGGAGAGAGGAGGGACGAAAGAAAAGTGGTGGAGTTGGATTTCGCATTCCTTTTTTTCGGGTTGCGCCAATTCGCTTAGTTAATTGTGTGGAGCTCAGCCCTAGATCACGTGATATCGAATTTGCTATCAACCAACGATCTATATAGGAAGCAGATGGTTGGGTCAAAAAAATACATAACAAAATCAAAATAATATAACTACAGTTGCCTGGCCACCGACAAGTCTAAGTAAGGCTGAGCGGACGTGAAGCCTTGTTTTCCACTTCCTTGACAATTCTAGCAACAAGATAAGCTGCTTAAATCGATCAACAACGAAATTGAGCAAAATGATTGTAGAGGACATCGTGTTCAGGGCAGGATTTGGAAATAAGTATCACTAACCCAAGAGGAAGGCTATTGGAAAGTATATATATATAGTTACATAGCTAAATAGAGAAAAGAAAAATAACTCCAACTGCAAAGTAACTTACAGGGGATAATGCAGGATATGGTTCAACTTCATGCGATCTACATCCGCCATCCACCTCTCTTCTAATGTACAAGACAGCTGTATCAAAAGATCAAAAGAAGTCTACTTAGACTCTCTTCTCCCGGATAAGGTCGAAAATTTCATGTACGTTGCCATCCCTTCCAGCTTCCGCACCGGAAGTGGAAGTTAACTCAGCATATGTCCGCTGAGGGCCATGCACGTAGTCCGCAAGCGGCTCAGCTGGTTCAGGAAGGGCTCCATACAGCGCTTTGGGCGTATCCGCCGCCCGATTGGTGGAAAGAGAAATCTTGCCTTCAGAAGTGATGGATGCGCTTACAGGATGGACCCAGTATTTCGACCCTCCTGGGACATCAGGATCAAAGTCCGAAATACCCCCAGGTCCATTTTGCTCCCTGAACGCGTGGGAGTTGACGTCCTCTGCCACGATACCTCCTACAGCAACGACGGCTTTATAGGCAGTTCCCCTGAATCGGCGCTTGGGCCTTAGGATACGCGCTTGGAATGGTCGGGAAAATTTTTGTGGACCAACAACCGGGTGGTTGTCGATTTGTGCACCTGTTCGTAGGTAAGATAATCCGGCTGAAGGGTGGGTCTTGGGAGGTCCCTGGCGGCCATACACCGAAGAAGATGCTTCGGAGGGCGCAGAACTCCAGCTGCTGAGATGGATACGGTGATTCGGTTTTTGTGGAGCGGGAGGAAGATCCAAAAACTTGGAGATAATCGGCCCCAGTGCCATAGGGTCGGCTCTCAGGCTTCTTAGGGCTGTATAGAACTCCTCATCGCTGATCTCTTGGGGTTTCTGTAAATCATCTAAGTTCTTTCCTTCCTCCCGGGCTTTGCGTCTTGCGTCGGCCAATTTTCCCTCTGCAACCAGTTTTCGAAGCTTCATCATAAATTCTGGCTTCCGGCGACGGACAGAGGCCAGATACCTATCGAATTCAAAATTTGTTTGGCCGGCTAACCAGGGTCCTCTGAATCTGAATCGTTTTGAATCAGGAGATTCTGATTTGATGCTCTCATGTGTATTATCAATTTTACTTTCGAAGACACTCTCCCGTCTCCCACCGCCCATCTGTGCCGCAACTCCAGTGTCTTTAGGCAGCACTATTGGAAGGTTGAGCTCCTGCCATTTCGCTAGGGTCTTGATGTGATCTCCAGCCGACTCGAAATCCGTGATATGCTCGAACGTGTCGAGAGCATTGATGCGGACAACGGGGGTTGATGAACTCTGTATCGTGGACTTTGCCGGCAGCGGTCGCTTGAGGCCCCAATCGCCTCTTGCTAGTGAAGAATCCGGGGTTACAATTGCTGCACGGATAGGATAGGGAAGGGTGGCTGTATCGGATTCGGCTATCGGACCAGAGGATACGGCTTGTGGTGGGGGAGCCAGTGTTGGCGGGAGTGCAAATAGACGAGATTTGCGAAGCAAATTCGATGTTGGGGAGAACCTAGCTGCCATTGTTGTTATCCTCAGTGCTTTTCGAAACCTGCCAGCAGTAACAGGTAGTTCTGTCTACTACCCCCAAAATGCAAAATCCAAGAGAGAAAAGTAGACAGACTCTGGATGTTTAGGGATGGTGAAGATTTTCCCACGGTTGCCTACACAGACCACAAGCGCAGAGTTTATCGCACTATATTCAAACTGGGCCATCTCTCTCACATACGGAGTCACTCACAAGTTATTCCACTATCCGTGGATAATATTATTGCTGCTGTTGCTTTATTTTTATTGTTTCCCAGAATTACCAACATCAGGTATGGAGATTTAAAAGGAGTTCAAAGGGTTTATTGATTGTCCCTTTTCTAAAATGTCAACCAACCACAAGAGCCCCGATGTGAGGTAGTCTCTCACATTAGTAACTATCTCACTCGGTTTGTAATCCCCCAGGCAATTTCTCTGTAAATCTATATCTTATATACATTGAGACTAAATCTGCGCAACAGATTTTCTATTTCCAGATAGAAACATGAAGGGGAATTCCAAGATAGATTCTATAAAACCGTCTCAGTCGGTTTTCTCCATAGGTTAGAGCAGACGCAGACATTTTGGAAGACATATTATCTTGGTCAGCTCCTATATTTTAGAATCTGGACAGGAGTCCAAGCGTCTGCATCTGCTTTGCTTGAGCAGGGATCTTCAGGGTCTTGAAGATACCTAGTCCTTGACCCGGCCTTCTGCTCTCCTCGGTGGCTTTACGTCCATCATACTAACTATCTAGTTATTCTCGAGCCAAGATCATACCAGGCTCGAAAGATACAAAAGGTTATCTGATTGGTGCACAGCAAGATGTGCTTCTTACCTTCAACCTGCTTTCAAAGGAAGAAAGCAGGGTTACTGGGACTGAGGCTTGAGTAAGTGATAATCGTACGTTGATATTCTGAGCCGGGAATCTTTACTATAGTTGAAGAAATTTTGTTCATTGCGCCCTGAGCTAACATTCTCATTTCTTTACTCTTCTAATGACGAGGCACAATTGAGCGTGCTCTTTTCGCCAGGTGGTTTATGATCTCGTACTGGCTCCTGACTGCCAGTTGAACCTGGGGGGTGAGCAAGCGACGCCAACTGTGCCTCTCCTCCAGATGAGGATATAACTGCTGCTTACCTAGATACATACGCAATGTGCCCTTGATCCTTTGATCTTCTGATCCCTTGTCCTATGCTTCATTTCAATAACTTTCGCTGACCCCGAGTTGCTTTTCGGGTTACACGAGAGCACATTTTGAAATGCCTCTGGCAAAGCTCGAATGGTTTGATAACATTCTTGATCATTTCACCGCGCCACTCGGATTTTGAACCTTCTATGAAACACCACTTGACAGCCGAGACGTCATACTCCCTCTCTCTCAACACTGTTAAACCATTGCAATGCAGCCTTGAGATCGAAGGCTTACTTCGAATGCTCATTTCCAGCGGGATACCTTTCTCCGTATTCAAGCCTTCTGTTGAATTCCCTGGAGTAGAAATTGCAGCCGTTCAATTCCATGGTTGGTGCAGATAGGAGATTGAGTGGGAAATCTTGACGAATGAAAATTTCTGCATACGGGATACTGAATCCGTCCTCAGATGGAAAGTACAGTACGTCTTTCTTGGTAAGTCCACTTCGAAACCATGGAGTGAGCGTAGCTGTGAGACGGATGAAGGGAGGAGTAATGCAGTAAAATACCTTTTCTCGACATCCGGTCTTTGATATCAGGGGTCAGAAGATGGTCTAGTGTAAAAGGGACGCCGCTATCATTGGGCTTCGTCCACTTTCTGAAGGGATGTATGTGAAACTTTTCATCATCATGCCCGATGATTCCTAAGAATTCCCGCAGTCCTGATCTTCCATAAGTTTTGCACAGGAGCTATTGGGTCCATATGGGTATCTAATTCAATTTAGGGCATAATGGTGCTCGGGGCTTTGAATATTACTTTTATTGGAAGGGCGGCACAAACATGAGGATAACATTGAAACATTTATCTGTAGCGTCCTATGTTCGAGCCGAAGGCTGATGAAATGGTGGATTTGACAGGAACATCTCCGCACGTCATAGAACGCTTTGAATAATATATCACACTTCTTCCAGGCCTTTTTGAACACGTCCTCTAAGTTGGGAGTCTTCACAGTGTCCCTCTGGAATGCGCTCTGAGGTGCGGGAAACCTGTCACTATAGTTAAGTACTTTCTCCAGACGCTCGTTGCACTCCTTAAGCTGGTTGAAGAGCTCATTCCTAACAGGTTGCCCCAAACTGAACTTCAATCGCAACATTTTGTACTCAACTTCCGATTTCACAGAAGTCATCCAAGCAGATTTTTTCCCCTGTTGGGACATCCTGGTCGCTTCTGCTGCTTGTGCTAGGTAGGGCAGGCTTGCTTGGAGTGTGGTATCATTAAATGAAAGCCCTTTCCTTCAACCCCAGTGCTGTTTCATTCATCTCTCCAATGACATCAATGTACATGCTGTATGATTCCTAGAGCTGCTCCTTTAATTTACTCTGCAAGGTTGTATCACTCCATTCTTTCCTTCCGGGATTACAAGCTGGCTGAGGCTGAGAAGATATATGAGCGCACATTACAAGGAATGGAGAATTCGCGAGGACCAATGGTCCAACTACTGTTACTGCTCTCTATGCCCTTAGGGATCTCTATAAAGATATGGGGAGGATGGAGTAAGCTGAGAAGATGTACCGGAAAGCACGAAAAGCTACGAATCAAATCCAACTGGCCTCGAATCCATTGCGGTTCATACACCGAAATATCAGTTGGATGGAGAAGGAGAAGAGAAGTTGTATCAGAAAGAACTGAAAGAATATGAGAAGACATGGGGATCAAATGACTCTTCTACATCTTGTATGATGTTAACCGACTTGAGATTTCTTTGAAATGGATTATGAGAAGGATCGCAACAAGCTAAACAGGAAAGCAGTAGATGAAAAGAAAAACGGTTGAAATGAACTGATTGCTACGGATAACTAACTACAGAGATCAGCAGCAGACTTTCTCAATCTTTCTCCAAACCAGTGGACTATAAGTTACAGCTCATAAGACCTTCTTATCTTAATCGATATCTAAATTGCCTAATGCTTTCCTGAAATTTAGCACCAAAATCACATTCAGCTACTCGAATATGCAGCAATTAATCAGTTTGGTGGAAGGACTGTTATAACTAGTTATACGCAACACCGGTAGAGCAATTAACTCCCTAACTGAAGACTTCAAAGCAAGAATTGCAAGAAATGCATTTTTAATGCTTCTGACAGGATATTACTCCTCAGTTAACTGGATGCAGGTTCCGGTGGGCAGCCCTCAGATGCCTAGAGAATCTAGAAGTCACGGGATTTAAGCCTCTCCAAAATTCCAACCAAGACAAGAACTACCACAACGACCAACCTCCCATCTCCCATTGTAGAGTGCAATATACATCGATGAATATTCACCTATATCCAGCTTCCATGAGGCGGTTAACACATGCTGCCTCCACAAACTGATCGCCCGTCATGGCGCAGGTACCTTCGGGAACAGACGCAACCCAGCGGATTTTCCATGACCTTAAGTCCAAGCATGAAGAAACACGCTCCCGTGCTTCCTTCGAGCTCCATGAGAATGTTGCCGTTGCCTCTAGAGGTACTGTTTAACCCACCCACCCACTCTTCAATTCGGGTTGAAGCGATGACATGTGCTAACATCTATTGCTCCATCTCTAGAGCTACCACCGGACAAGTTCATCGAATACTACAATGCGGTATCCCAGCGTATCGCTCAACTTGTTGTTACTGGCAATGACGTAAACGAGAAGATCGGTGGCCTCCTGGCCCTCGACAGGTTGATAGATTTTGATGGCGTAGATGCTGCTCAAAAAACGACACGATTTGCAAGCTATCTGCGGAGTGCACTTCGCAGCAACGACAGCACCGTCCTAGTCTATGCTGCGCGTTCACTTGGCCGTCTGGCCAAACCCGGCGGTGCATTGACGGCAGAATTGGTAGAAAGCGAAATACAATCTGCTATGGAATGGCTGCAGTCAGAAAGGCAGGAAAACAGGCGTTTTGCTGCTGTTCTAGTGATCCGGGAACTTGCGAAGGGTTCCCCCACTTTGCTCTACGGCTTTGTGCCGCAGATATTCGAGCTTATCTGGGTGGCACTGCGTGACCAAAAGGTTCTGATCAGAGAGACATCTGCTCAGGCCGTTAGCGAATGCTTCGAAATTCTGGCTGCAAGAGATTTCCAAGTCCGTCAACAGTGGTTTGGTCGGATATACGAAGAATGTTTGCTAGGACTGAGATCAAGCAATGTAGATTGGATTCACGGCTCGCTTCTGACCTTGAGGGAGCTCCTGTTGAAGGGCGCTATGTTCATGAACGAGCATTACCGAAATGCCTGTGAAATTGTCCTCCGCCTCAAGGATCACCGTGAGCCGAAGATTCGAATACAAATTGTCCTTACCATCCCGATTCTCGCATCTTATGCACCTCTAGAATTCACCAACATATATTTACACAGATTTATGATATATCTACAGGCGCAACTAAAGAGGGAGAAGGAGAGAAATGCTGCCTTCATTGCCATCGGGAAAATCGCGAATGCCGTTGGAAATTCTATTGCGCAGTTTCTTGATGGGATTATTGTCTATATCCGGGAAGGACTGACATTGAAAGCGTGAGGAACCCAATAGAACTCATTCTGTGGTTGATAAAAGGCTAACTCCGCTGCATTTCTTTAGTCGTAACCGTGCTGCGGTCGATGAAGGTCCGATGTTTGAGTGCATAAGCATGCTGTCTTTAGCTGTTGGACAAACCCTCAGCAAATACATGGAAGCCTTATTGGATCCAATCTTTGCGTGCGGTCTGAGCGAATCTCTCACACAGGCTTTGGTAGATATGGCGCATTATATCCCTCCCATTAAGGCAACGATTCAAGAAAAACTGCTTGATATGTTAAGCATAGTCCTATGTGGAACCCCATTTAGGCCCCTTGGGTGTCCTGAAAACCGCCCTCCCCCAATGCCCTCCTTTGCAAAGGATTATGGACCTTTCCTGCAAGAACCAACTGATAACGAAATCGCTCTTGCATTACATACGCTTGGCAGTTTTGATTTCTCTGGTAAGTTCATTTTCCTTTTTAATCTTTCTCTAAAATTTGTTGGCGTATTTGCTGATTTTCCTAGGGCATATTTTAAACGAATTTGTCCGCGACGTTGCTATTACATTTGTCAATAATGACAACCCGGAAATCCGTAAAGCGTCAGCCTTAACATGTTGTCAACTATTCGTCAGCGACCCAATTCTTAATCAAAAGAGCAGCCACTCCATCCAGGTGGTTGGTGAGGTTGTCGACACTCTCCTCACTGTTGGTATCGGAGACCCAGATCCAGATATTCGACGAATTGTCCTGGAGTCCTTGGATAAGAAATTTGACAGTCACTTGGCCAAACCTGAAAGTGTTCGATGCCTTTTCCTGGCTGTGAACGATGAAGTATTTCCCGTTCGGGAAGCCGCAATTAGTATCATCGGCCGCCTGTCCGGCGTCAATCCAGCATACGTTTTCCCTCCGTTAAGAAAACTGCTGGTGAACCTGTTGACTGGACTTAGCTTTGCTACCACATCCCGACAAAAGGAAGAAAGCGCCCAGCTAATTAGCCTGTTCGTTGCGAATGCTACGAAGCTTGTTCGATCGTATGTTGACCCAATGGTGACTGCTTTATTTCCGAAAACGACAGATCCCAATCCAGGAGTAGCGGCGACAACTTTGAAGGCCATCGGAGAGCTTGCAACAGTTGGGGGAGAGGATATGAGGCAATATTTACCGCAACTCATGCCCATTATCCTGGATGCACTTCAGGATCTATCGTGTCAATCCAAAAGAGAAGCAGCGCTACGAACCCTGGGGCAGCTTGCAAGTAACGCAGGATATGTCATCGAGCCCTACCTTGAATATCCCCACCTTCTTGCTGTTCTTATCAATATTGTTAAAACTGAACAAACTGGGTCTCTTAGGAAAGAGACCATAAAGCTGCTAGGTATTATCGGTGCTTTGGATCCGTATAAACACCAGCAAATAAGTGAATCTGTACCAGATATACATCATATCAATGAAGTCCAGCGGGTATCAGACGTGTCCCTTATTATGCAAGGCCTCACGCCCTCTAACGAAGAGTACTATCCCACCATTGTTATCAACACCCTGCTTCAAAATATCCTCAACGAGAGTTCTCTCGCCCAATATCACTCAGCCGTTATCGATGCTATTGTGACGATATTCAAGACCCTGGGATTGAAGTGTGTTCCGTTCCTGGGGCAAATTATCCCTGCCTTCGTATTAGTTATTAGGAGTACTCCGACTAGTCGTCTTGAATCTTACTTCAACCAACTAGCAATCCTAGTGACCATCGTGAGGCAACACATCCGTGCCTTCCTGCCAGAAATAATCGAGGTCATTCGTGAATTCTGGGATTCCTCTTACCAAGTCCAAGCGACGATATTGTCACTAATCGAGGCAATTGCAAAGTCACTGGAGGGGGAATTCAAGAAATACTTGGCTGGCCTGATCCCACTTATGCTTGACACGTTAGATAAGGATATCACACCAAGACGTCAACCCTCAGAAAGAATTTTGCACACATTTCTTATATTTGGCTCTAGTGGAGAGGAATACATGCATTTGATCGCCCCGGCTATTGTTCGCTTATTTGATAAAACCCAGAGTCCGTCCGGAATTCGAAAGTCCGCCATTGAAACTCTGGGGAAACTCTCTCGCCAGGTTAATGTATCTGACTTCTCGTCTCTTATGATACATCCCCTGTCAAGGGTGATCGCAGGCACCGATCGTACCCTCCGGCAGGCGGCGCTGGATTGTATCTGCACGCTCATATTCCAACTCGGCCAGGACTTCAACAACTATATCCAACTTATCAACAAGACCATTTCAGCCCACCAAATCAGTCATCACAATTATCAAATTCTCGTTTCGAAACTACAGAAAGGAGATCCTTTGCCTCAGGATCTGAACCCGGATGAGCACTATAGCACCCTTGGCGATGATTCTACGTTCGCTGATGTCGGTCAGAAGAAGATCCTAGTTAATCAGCAGCATTTGAAGAATGCATGGGACGCGTCTCAAAAATCGACACGAGAGGATTGGCAAGAGTGGATTCGACGATTCAGTGTTGAGCTACTTAAAGAATCGCCATCTCACGCTCTTCGGGCGTGCGCCAGTTTAGCCGGAATTTACCAGCCTCTTGCGAAAGATCTTTTCAATGCCGCTTTTGTCTCGTGCTGGACGGAACTGTATGGCCAATACCAGGAAGAGCTCGTTCGTTCAATAGATATGGCCCTTACCTCACAGAATATCCCCCCCGAGATCCTGCAGATCCTCCTCAATCTTGCAGAGTTTATGGAACATGACGACAAGGCGCTTCATATCGATATTCGAACCCTTGGTAAATATGCCGGTAAATGCCACGCATTTGCTAAAGCTCTTCATTATAAGGAATTGGAATTCGAACAAGACCAAAATTCCGGCGCTGTGGAAGCCTTAATCAGCATCAATAATCAACTCCAGCAATCAGATGCTGCTATTGGAATACTTCGGAAGGCTCAGGCTTACAGAGATGTTGAGTTAAAGGAAACATGGTTTGTCAAATTGCAGCGCTGGGAAGAAGCTCTTGCGGCGTATAAGAGGCGCGAGCTGATAGACCCAGATTCATTCGATGTCACAATGGGAAAGATGAGGTGCTTGCATGCCTTGGGTGAATGGAAAATGCTCTCCGATCTTGCTCAGGAAAAGTGGAACCACGCCTCCAACGAACATCGAAAGGCGATGGCGCCTCTTGCAGCGGGAGCGGCATGGGGTCGTGGTCAATGGGAACTTATGGATTCGTATATTAGCGTGATGAAAGAACAAACCCCGGACCGATCATTCTTTGGCGCCATACTTGCTATCCATAACCGCAAGTTCGACGAAGCGGCAATGTTCATTGAAAAAGCGCGAAATGGCCTAGATACAGAGCTGTCTGCCTTACTGGGAGAGTCTTATAACCGTGCCTACAATGTCGTTGTCCGTGTCCAAATGCTTGCAGAACTTGAGGAAATCATCATATATAAGCAGAGTGATGACGATCCCGAAAAGCAAGAAGCTATGAAAGAAACATGGAATAAGCGACTCCTAGGCTGTCAGCAAAATGTTGAGGTATGGCAGCGAATGCTGAAAGTCAGAGCCTTGGTTATATCCCCTCGCGAAAATCTCGATATGTGGATAAAATTTGCAAACTTGTGTCGCAAATCAAATCGCATGGGTCTTGCAGACCGTTCTCTCAGCTCTTTAGAAGGTGGCGAACTCGGGACACCGCCGGAGGTTGCTTATGCTCGACTGAAGTATGAGTGGGCTGCTGGACGCCAAAAGGAGGCACTTCAGATGCTAAGAGACTTTACTATTGGGTTGACAGAAGAATTCGCTAGATACAATGCTGCCCTTGTTGCTCATAGCGAGCATGCGCCTGCGGACAGACCTGGTCTCGTTAATGGTATTAGTGATCATCCGGAATTAGCTCTCACACGCCAGCATATCGGTGATGTAGGTAAGTTCCGACGATTACTCGCAAAAAGTCATCTTAAACAAGGCGAATGGCAAACAGCGCTGCAGAGAGGTGATTGGACTTCTGAGGGTGTACGTGATGTTTTGAACTCGTATTCAGCGGCAACACAATATAACCGCGATTCATACAAAGCATGGCATGCCTGGGCGCTGGCAAATTTTGAAGTTGTGAACGCATTGAGCACTCAAACGAATAGGGAAACAGTTGTTCCCCATCACATTGTTCTCGAACATGTCATTCCCGCCATTCGAGGATTCTTCCGTTCCATCGCTTTATCGTCCACCAGTTCATTGCAAGATACTCTGAGGCTTCTCACGCTCTGGTTCACCCATGGTGGTGATGCCGAAGTTAGCGGCGTCGTATCTGAAGGGTTCACTTCAGTTATTGTTGATACGTGGCTCGAGGTCACTCCACAACTTATTGCACGCATCAACCAACCAAATGCCCGAGTCCGTGGAGCCGTCCATCGATTACTCGCAGAAGTCGGAAAAGCTCACCCACAAGCTCTGGTTTATCCATTGACTGTTGCAACGATGTCCAACGTCGTCAGACGATCTCAATCAGCCTCTCATATTATGGACAGCATGAGGCAGCATAGCCCGCGACTGGTTGAGCAGGCAGAAATCGTCAGCCACGAATTGATTCGTGTCGCAGTCCTCTGGCATGAGCTTTGGCATGAGGGTTTAGAGGAAGCATCTCGATTATATTTTGGAGATCACAATGTCGAAGGCATGTTCGCGACATTAGCTCCTTTGCATGACATGCTTGACAAAGGTGCTGAGACGCTTAGAGAAGTGTCCTTTGCCCAAGCATTTGGCCGTGACCTTGCAGAGGCCAAGCATTTCTGTCTCCTCTATCGCGAGTCAGGAGTAATAGGTGACCTCAACCAAGCGTGGGATCTCTACTACACTGTCTTCCGAAAGATTGCGCGACAACTACCTCAGCTGCAGTCGCTTGATTTGAAGTACGTCTCTCCCAAACTAAAAGACGCTGTCGATCTCGAACTGGCTGTTCCTGGCACCTATCAAAGTGGCAAGCCCGTCATCAGAATCATGAGCTTTGATCCAGTGTCCATTGTTTTGCAGACGAAGAAGCGACCACGCAAGATGACATTGAAAGGTAGCGACGGAAATTCTTATATGTATGCTCTAAAGGGGCACGAAGATATCCGTCAGGATGAGCGCGTTATGCAACTTTTCGGACTAGTTAATACGCTCCTTGATCATGATAGTGAGAGTTTCAAGCGTCATTTGACAATTCAACGCTTCCCTGCTATTCCGTTATCACAGAACTCCGGTCTAATTGGCTGGGTATCAAACACGGATACATTGCATGCTTTAATCAAAGAGTACCGTGAAAGTCGCCGAATTTTGCTTAATATTGAACATCGTATCATGCTTCAGATGGCTCCTGATTATGATAACTTAACCCTCATGCAAAAAGTTGAAGTATTCGGATATGCCATGGACAACACAACCGGAAAAGATCTGTATCGCGTCCTTTGGCTTAAGAGCAAGAGCTCTGAATCGTGGCTAGAGAGACGAACAAACTACACCAGATCCCTTGGTGTTATGTCAATGGTTGGATATATCCTTGGTCTGGGTGATCGCCATCCGTCAAATCTTCTACTTGAGCGGATTACCGGCAAAATCGTGCATATTGATTTCGGTGACTGCTTTGAAATCGCCATGCATCGTGAAAAATACCCTGAACGCGTTCCATTCCGTCTTACACGAATGCTCACGTTCGCTATGGAGGTTAGCAACATTGAGGGCAGTTATCACATAACATGTGAGGCTGTAATGCGGGTGATCCGAGAAAATAAGGAGTCATTGATGGCCGTGTTAGAAGCCGTAAGTGCTCCACGCGAAAATCTCTTCATCACTTATGATAAAAGATATAAGTTGCTAACATCCATCTCTAGTTCATCCACGATCCACTCATAAACTGGCGTCTGGGTGCTCGAGAATCACCCGCGCGTCCGTCATTTGCTGCTGACCGCCGCCAGTCCGTTGTCGAGGAAATAAACATGGATCATCCAATGCAACCAAGCAATTTCTCCCGTCGACGCCCATCCATTCTTGAAGGTGGCATTCTAGATGCGCAACAGGGTGTTCCCAACGAAGCCCGAGAAGTACAGAACGCCCGAGCGCTCCAGGTCCTTTCACGGGTCAAGGAAAAGTTAACAGGCCGCGATTTTAAGTCAACGGAGGAGCTCAATGTTTCGGACCAGGTGGACAAATTGCTGGTCCAAGCTACGAGCGTGGAGAATCTGTGTCAGCATTATATTGGATGGTGTAGTTTTTGGTGATTATTTCTATCTTTTGATATGCAACTAGATATGTAGATGTATGGTGGGTTGGAAACTCGCAGTTCCCTATTTTTCTTCCTGATCTCACTATCTTCTCCATCGTGGATATGTCTGGCAAGTTATTCGTTTCTTCCCGTCATATTTGTCTCATCATGCTTATTTGCCAATGTCAGTTGATGGTGTACGAATATCTAGCCAACCTTTGTTTTCTCAAGTTCGCCTTGATCCCTCATTCTAGTTATCCCAATAATGATGATACCCCTTTTCTAGTTCCATACAGCGATAGCTAGCTCTGTTAGCCTTTTGTATTCTCTGATTATTATATGACCTACTTGCTGCTAATTTTACTTGGTTAGCAGCTGAGCTGTATCATGCTAATGAAATTAAACCAAGGAAAAAGTGGATTTAACGATATGAGGAGCTATACAAGGGTTTCACGCCAGCTTCTAAGCAGAACCGCCCGTATAATCCAACAGGAAGAGCGGGTTTTATTCATTTGTCACCTCAAAAAAACTGAGGATGCATGCTTGTTACAGATGTACATTGTAGAACAAGTGGGGAATAAACTCCATGTAAAGGTGCATATTGAACAATTTCTAAGAATACCATAATAGCAAGAACATAAATGGAATAGAACTGGGCAGAAGTGGCGATGCGAATGGTGAAAATGGAAACACCGCAAAAATGAACAGGAAGATTAATGATATATTGAAATAAATTAACACAGCAAGCGGGAAAATAACGCGACATGCAATGATATACCAATTCCCTCTCTCCTCACCCCAATATCACTCCACACCAGTCTTCTTCCCTTTCTTTCTCGAACCACCAATCTCGACGGGGTCCACAAACCAGCCGCCCCGCAACCATACAAGAACCTTCCGGACACCCGCCTCGTCGACCGCACTAGGATTTTTCTCTAACAACACCCCAATAAGCGCCCACGACGCAACGATGACGAACAAATCACCTCCTTTGCACCCACGCCACAACCCCCGCTTCGTCCCAGTTCTCCAAGCAGAATCAACAGCAACACGGAAGAAATAGAGGAACATCGACCGATTGCCCTCTCCTGCCAAGAAGGCAAATGGCAAACCCCCAAGGGCACCACTAAGGTAGAAGCGTTGCGTTGGCAACAAGGAGCGGGGAAAGAGGGAATTGAAAAGACACACGCTGCCCCAGGCAGATCCCAAGGCGGCGGAGAGGACGGCAGTTCTAGATAGGATTTTTGTACAGATGGCGTTGGTGGATAGGATTGGGTGGGCCAGGAAGGTGCGGAATTTCAGGAGGGCCAGGGCTAGGTAGACTTTTGTGAGGAAGCGGGCGAGGAGAGGGATTGAGAGGAGGGTCTGGTGGAGGGAGGCTGTTAAGCAGGAAGGGGATTTGGGGTGGAGGAGGGCGCAGGATAAGGAGGGGATGGAAGGGTGGGCCGGGGAGGTTATGGCGGATATGGATTTGAGGGACTCAGGTAGGACTTTTGGGTTCGAGGGATGGAGGATTGGGGAGATAAAGGCGCTATATGAGGATAGGATTAGAAAAAGAATTGCCAAGATTGAAGTGGTGGGTACAGATATGGTTATCCATATATAACATACGGCCACTTTAGTTGTGATATTTTTGCCAGTGCATCCACAGATTCGTTTTGGTTTGGCCAATGACGGCTAGCGGGGTAGTTGTCTGGGCGTTGATGGATATGTCCAGGGGAAAACTTTAGAATAAAGTCACCAAACCACTGGATACAGTTAGTTTTATCATTGTTTCTCTTTAAAATAGTCGTGTTGAGCCCTAGATCCCGACATACCTTCGGCTCGGTATCTCGATCAAATACGAATGCATGGAACAATTGCGCAAAGGAAACCGGCATCAACAGCCAACTCCCAAACCACCACGGCCGATTTTTGAACCACCCTTGCGCCTCTAGCTCATTAAACAAAAATTCCAAGCTTCGGGTTGACATGTAAATTGCCAGGGTGAGACGGAGCCGGCTTTGGGGGAAAGCACCAAGTGCAAAGCCGGCCAAACTGGCGCCGATTGCGGGCGCATATTTGGACGTCAAGACTATAGAAACTCTAGGATTACGAGCGCGGAACGGACGTGCATCGTCTGTTCGCAAGAACGCGCGCAATCGAAGAAAAAATCGGTGTAGAAAACGGTGTAGAAGGAGGGTAAGAGATAGCGCACAAGATAAGCGAAATGCCGGAGATTGGCGGAAGGGAACTTTCGAGGGTTTACTATCGATTTAGGGCAGAATGTTAGAGGGGTTATCAGTCTGACCTTTTACTTCCCAGTTGAAGACTGATGGGAGGAATGTGGCTTACGGGGCATTTGGGTTGTTTCTTGACGCCAGCTTCTGCGTGATATATTCGAGGAGCTTCATGCCTCCCCCGGCGGCGAAGAAAACGCGTAGCGAGGCGCGGAGGGCGGCTTCATTGTATTTGTCTTGGGATTTAACAATTTCCTTGAATGCGGAAGGTTGTAATGCTCGATTCTGAACCGCGGAAGGGAGTCGTTTTATGAGGTGCTCATGGAGAGATTTATACTCGGACGCGGAGAGCGATAAGCGGAGGACGTTGCAAATGATGGGATGAATGGATCTGGACGAGCTTGGCTGAGGCGCAGGTTCCGGGTGGGACGCCATTATTGAAGTATCTGTAGGATCTATGCTACTATGATAAGCATGATCATGCTTGGTGCCAGTGGCGGGAATCCGGAAAATGTGTAGAGATATTTCCGCTATGCGCAGAGAGTTTGATGTTGTTAAATCTGGGGTTGAACTTTTAAGCTCAGCTGAGCCTCGGATGATGCTGTCTTGGCGTCTGTGGGGGTTGTAACTAGTTAACTATCACAGGGAAGATCTAGTTATACAACAAACAATTTAAAAAAAAAAAGGTGGGATAAGAAAGAGATCTGCTAAGTATTTATGGCTGTATCCAAAGATTATACGGATATCCATAGCTAATATCTCCTAATATTATATCTCCGCCAGTGCTCATTTCATTCTCATTTCCATACAGATTTCATCGCACCGCGTCACCAGCCCAGAACATCACATAAAGCGTGTGAAGGTAATCTTTTATATCTCCCATAAGAGATGTGTGGACATACGATACCCTATCTCTGCAGGAAGTGGGTTGGTTATGCTTTATTGATTCAACTTTCTGCTGGAGCCACCAGGCCAGACATGTCCATTACTATTGGTTGGCTTCACAAAAACACGGTTGTATGTAGTTTTAACTCCATAGTTTGACGGCATCCCAATTCGGGGCTAGGTGAATGGGGTAATCAGCCTTCGCTTATTATCGGCACAACTGAGGAACCACGCGCTTAATCTATTGATCCATAACTGCTTCTTTGTGAAAGAAATAGCTCGCTAACTCCGGCGATTAGTGTTCGCTGATTCATGGCCAATGTTCCTTTTGTACTTCCTCTCTCGGATTTGTAGAGATATGTGTTAGGCTAGGGACCTTGGAATTTAGATGAGATAAAATAGGACAACCGGAGGTATTAGAGTCTAGATGTGGTTGAACTTACCCATGTGATTTGTTCATAGAAGTGCCTTGAATATTTCATTTCGTAGTGGCATAGTCAACAAGAACGCCCCAATAAGCTCTTTGCAGAGGCTAGTCGAAACGTTCGAAAACTGCGAGACAACAAACACCGGGACTTGGATCGAATACGTCCTATATTTCGGGGAGGGGGCCTGGGTGTATTGAATAGGGAGATATAGGAAGCCTAAATCATTTCCCATGTTTTTGCACGCCGCCACTACGGTTGGCATTGTGGAGAGGGCAGGAGGAAATCATCCTCGTGCAGAAAAATAAATAATTCGGCTATGGATCATTCGGTATGGAATCCCAGTAAGTTAAATCTGTCATCCAATCATTCAACATCCAATTCCCCACCGGGTCAATCAGGCTACTGGTGGAAAATGAAAGGCCTGGGGGATCCATCGAGAGTGTCCGTAAATCGTCGCCCGTCATATAGCCAGTCTCACTCCCAGATAAAGGTTGTGTCGCAGAAGGAAAAGGAGTGGTAGGAGAGTTCTTTGAATCGTGTAAACTGACCAGCCCGGAAACAGGAAAATCATCTGCGTTCATATCATGTTCTCTATTTTCATTTTGCATACGGGTTGCAGCAGCGTGGGGTGGCGGCGATTCTTCTGACATTGTATTCTTTCGCCGAGAGCCGTGTCTAAGCCCATACACAAGGTCCCATTTCGAGCAGAGGTCGGGCCCGAAGAAATTGAAGAATTGAAACTGTCGTTCCGAGACAGATATCTCGAATGAGGGACGCTGCGATTGCTGCTTTTGGATAGCCGCTGTAACTCCTTTCACAACTCTTTGGGCTCCAAATGCTGACGGGAACCTATGAGCAAATTCATCCAACACCTGATTTATAACATCGAACTCTTTCTCGGTTTTGGCCCATAGTAGCGGATAGTTATGACAAGCTACTTCGGCAAGGGCAGCGGCGAGTAGATGGAATATGAATACAGGGGCTAAAAGGGGTATTTCTCCTCGTGCTAAAAAGTCCTCGTATATGCCCACCACAAACGAAGAAGACAAAACCGGAGCCACAGCGGGAGGGGTATCCATAACAGTGGGTCGGAAAAGTATCGAAAGCGCCGTGAAATATGGGATATGTAACTGCCGCGCCTTGAAGTTATACGGACGGAGCTGACCCGTTCTCCGGTCATGCAAATGGAATTGGGGTGGGAGCTCGCTCATCCAACGTAAAAGCCTGTGCTCAATAGACGTACGGCTTGAACGACCAAGAGTACCACGAAACGAATGCTCCGTCAGGTCACCAAGGATGGAAGATATTTCTACGTAGGTTATGAAGAGACGTGCATCCTCTTGGTTGCCAGGGAAATCCTCGAGTGTTGGTGGACGAACGTCGAAATCCTTTTTAGAAATGGCTCTTGGGCGGCCATGGCTTGCCGATATCATGCAATCCCGGGTCTAACACACGTTAGTTTCTTCTCTATTAAAAAAAAAAAAAAACCAAAAACGGATAGCATACAAAAAGTGTCCACCATAGTCTTCGACGGAAACCAACATTCGGCTGACTAGGCGAGGGATCACGATGAAGACCGATCTGGTGAGCCAGAGCAACGCCCATGTGAAGCCAAAACGTGCTTGCATCTCGAGAGATATGTTCAGCACCGCTCGGGTTCCACCACTGTAAAAGGCATATAGCTTGAATGACGACCAACGGATCCTTTTCGAAATCGGAGTAGTATAGGGCTTTTGCACGCCGATAAAATTCCTCTCCAACACTTTGAGCCTGCGGCGCTGTAGACACTTTGCTACCGGCAACAAATATCGCTTGCAAAAGCAGCATAGACGTTTCGGACTGATGATCACCCCGCTCTATGGCTATGTTATCCACTATGGGCATCCATGGGTGGCATCTTTCGAGAAAATTCGTAATCAAACTGTCCCGTACAGAACGAGGAGGGAGATCAAAAGCTCGAAGTTCATTAAGGAACCTTTGATACGGTTCTGAGGGGTGGTCATCATGCGCCACGCGGTACTTCCGCGCATCTTCTTCGTCAATGGGCACAATACTAGAAATATACTCGCTTCTGCCAAGATAACTACCAGACGGACTTGCATAGCTTGATTCACTTGGCTTGGGTAGTCTTGGTGAACCAGTAGAGTCAATCCCCGTTACTCGAGAAGGAGATTTAGACGGGTAGATAGTGGCCAGCGGCGCTATGGATACTCTTTCAGAACGACGATACTCCGAAGACTCCACCTTCCGGCGTCGCTTTCGAATGTGTGGCCTAGTTTGCAGAATCAGCAAATGGGTAGAGAAATATGTTCCTTATTCTAGTTAAGTACACGCACTTGCATTCATGATTCACAGTCCGACAATTTGAGCAGGCCCCATTAGCCGTCGCCAAATCGCAACGAATCTAGGAAAATTCAGCATCACCCTGAGCCAGGTGGAATTAGACATTATCATAATCATATTTATTACCTTGCGATTGTGACAACTTGTGCAAGCTTTGGCCCCCTGCCGTTCGCGAGACGCAGTATGCAAAGCTTCATCATCGCTTGTCATCGGGAATCACCTCTCTTTCTTCCTCGTCCGATTATATCTTTTGTGTGTATATACTATGATCAGCCAAAGATCGTCGACGCAGATCTTAGAGCCTCGGAATATTCTTCTTCTTAGGTTCAAGCACCGGGATGTTGTGGCAAACCTTGGAACTTCGGGGAGCTAAATAGCTGCAGATCACGTGTTAGTTCTTGAGCAGAGAAAATCCTCTGTTCTTCCGTTCAGATAAAATCGAATAGAAACATCATCTGGGTGGGATGGAACAAGCTCCCTCGACCTCGTAGTCGTTTGGTGGAACAGTTTCATCTCATTGTTCTGCTGTTGGAGAGTTGGTCACTACAAATATGTTATATGATTTTGTCCGTAACTATTTTTTTGGCCGCATCTAAGCATCTACGTTAGTTAATTAACTCCCTTCGTTATAGTTTGTTAAATATTTCCGAGATGACTCCAAGGCCAGAACCCCGCTACTGTGAGGTACAGAAAGGAGCCTTTTTCTCAGACAGATCTCATCATCCTCTGTTCACTCACTCTTTTCTCCATGTTGGGCAGATACAAGAGAAGCAAGAGTCCAATGTTCACTCAGGTCTCACTTCGTCTGAAATATCTCTGGATTTAAGGACAACTGAATCATGGCGAATGCCATGAATGCAGAAGCACTCGGAGCTTGAGAGAAAAATGCAGCCTATTGGGACAAAGTAATGGGTGCTGATGGTAATGACTATTATAAAGCAGTCGAACTTCCCGTCCTTGAGCGCATGGCAGCCGTGAAACCCGGCGATATGGCGTTAGATCTTGCAACCGGAAATGGGCTTGTGGCGCGCTGGCTGGCATACCGCGGCGCTCGCGTTATTGCGACAGACGAGAGCCAGGCCATGCTGGACCACGCCAAATGTAGGGGCGTGGATGCCGATGGAATCCATATCGTCTCGATATCGTATCAGGTTTTGGATGCCACTAGCCCGGAAGCGATTGAGAAGTCAATCGAACAGGAGACGGTGGATGTAGGGCTTTTGCTGGCATCTCGACATCGTCCTCGTTTTCTTCTCTCCTGCACATTTCCCTTTTATCAGGTGATAGGAGGAAGCAAGCTAACATCAAGTCTGCTCTCTATGTCTCTACAAGGGTAAGAGGGCACGTTCGACATCGTGACAATGAACATGGCCATCATGGATATCGGTACACTTGAACCCTTGGCTGCTGCCCTCCCGAACTTGCTGAAAAAGAATACGGGACGGTAAGTGCCAATTTTATCTCCCTAGCTACGTGTCTTCTAAGATCTTTGAGCAACAACTTTGACAAAGAAAGGAACCCTTGATTTTTGTTCATCTCCCCCTTGTACTGTGCATAATATGTATGTGACTCGAGCTGCCAGCTTCGTTACGACTCTCCTCCATCCGTTTATCACAGCTGGAGCCACACGAGTGATCGAGTACGGCGACAGCATCGAAACAGGGCGTGAGGAAGAGCGCGTCAGCATTAAACTGACCAGATATCTCCATACTGCTCCTCCGGTCAAAGCAGAAGCTCTGAAAGGGCAGCCTTCTCATCAGGTACATATATCACAAAGAGAATTGCGATATGAAGCCAATCTATCAGATTTGCTGGATGCCTGATGGATTTGCTAATTATTGGCGAACCAGCCCTTGGATTAAAATTTTTTAAAAAAAAAAGTTTACCTTCCACCGTCCTATACTCGAAGTGTTGGCCCCTTTCCTCCCCTCCGGTCTAGTTCTCGACGCGCTCGAGGAGCCAACCTTCGGCGAAGAATACAACGCTAGAAACCCCGTCGACCCCAGGTCCTTGCGGTATATCATCCAGATTCCCAAAATCTTTGCGTTCCTGATGAGGGCCGTCGGGCATTGATTCATCGTTCCTTTACTGTGCGGTAGAATGGATATTTCAGGAGCTCACAGACAGATCGAGATTGTCCTCCCCTCGCTTTTCACATTTAATTCTTTTTGTTCGAGAACTGTAGCTGAAGTCAAGGTTGACCTAAATCACTAAAATAAGCTATCAAAACCCAATTAGAGAGAAATATGATCTTCTAACTTTAGTTACACAATACATTAAATTGACGTTTCTTCACCCCTGAAAAGCAAACCCAAAAACCAAACTAAAGGGGATAGATCGCCTTGGCTAATTTCCTCCAACATCCTTTTTGACTCTCAGCTATCAACTCGACCCCCCTGTCCTGCCACCCACTGGACAAAAGTTGTAGCGTTTCTGCTTGTATCACAAGATTAACAGGAAGAGAGAATAGGACAATGGAAAACTTGGGGAGATTAGTTAGATACGCTGGGATGGAGGTGACAAAGCAAACATGCGAAATTCATGACAGAAAGCCTATATTTTAGATCCCTCAACTTGGTTACGCACCAGCTGTGGCGTAAAGAGTGGCGAAAAGAAGATGTACAGAACCCATTCTAAAACTTCTCCTATTATTCCATTTCTGAACAAAAAATAATAACGGTAACAGGGGGAGAAAGTGAAGATGGAACAGAGAGGCAAACCCTTTGGTGTATTAAGTTAACTATTAAGTTTGTAGATGGGACGCGCCGAATGGCAGGGAGCGAAAATGGCAGCATAAAAAACACTCACTAAACACTTCCAAAAGAGAGTATCCATATCCTGACAATCACTAAAAGACCCATGCAAACTACCACCTGATAATCTTCTGAGGGAAGAACTCGTCAATGAGGTCGAGATAGTACGGCTAGCTCCTGAGTTAGAAAACTGAAACCGTCTGTCCAAACCTCTCCCCGCTCCCCAACCATCCCCCAAAAAATGACTCCCAAAATCTGATTTCGGGAATTGCTTACCTTCAATTCCTCTACGTTGGGACTAGCATCGTTCTTGCTATAGAGGTCATAAGGGTTGAAAGCCTGAACAGCCTTCAGCATGTCCTTATCATGCTCATTCATAAACTCCATATAGGCACCCGACGTATGCCACGCATAAAAGGAATGGTAACGGATAATCGCTAGCGCTTCAGGCGGGAGAAGCGATTGGTCCTTGACAATATGGTAGAGATACTCATCGTGTCCCCATGAGAGCATGAGATTATCCAAACCGCAACCCGGAAAATATATGCCGTATTTCGTCCCGTAAATCTCGTGACCGTAGTCGGGGTTCTTCTTGAAGGACTCGGACGAATAGACAACCCTATCATCAAAAGCACAGCCAACCGGGAAAGTGTCACCCACCACATCCCACTGGCCCTGTGCGCCGAAGAAATAGAGCAGCTTGCCCAAGTCGTGGATGAGGCCGGTCAACTGCATCCACCGCGGCTTGCCATCACGGCGGATGGCCTCGGCGGTCTGTAGGAGGTGCTCAATCTGTGTGAGAGTGGTGTCTGGGTCAGAGTCATCAATGAGTGTGTTAAGCTTCTCCATGGCTTCCCAGACACTCATGTAGGCGCGTGTCTTTGAGTGGAATTCGTTGCGGGCCTTGAGGTTGAAATCAACTGTCTGCTTCTCATGCTGCTCGAAATAGAAACTTTTCACTTTCTCCCAGACAATTTCGTATTGACGGAATTGGGATTTGTCTTTGTCCTTGTCAAACTCGGGCTTATCATACAGTCCCCTCTCCTTCTTGAGGGTGGCTTTGAGAACGTTGACTTCGTCAATGTCATCAGACAACTCTTCAAGAGCGCGGCCATCCCTTCTCTTGGCTGGCGAAAGAGCAGCATCTGGTGCCTTCATGTTGTAACTGTGCATACAAAATTGACCTGCCCTTTTATCTCAAAAAAGCACACCGGGGAGAAATTTAACAAGAATAAGGAGAAGGAAATGCGGGAAAAGTCTTTTATCTCACGACATCGAAACATGCCCACTTGATCAAGGAAGAAATCAGACACGTAAGAAAAGTAGACGGAATTTCTCAGGGAAAAGTATATATGAAAAAGAGACACGAAGCCAAAATCCAGTTGCTCCCTTTTACCCATTGATAGGTTGTGAACCAGCTCTGATACTAAGAATATTACAGATGAACTCCAACTGAGTTTATGATTCATCTGGCCCCACTATTGTCATCAACAAGAAGCAAAAAGCAGAATGCCGTTCAAAGATCCGGATAAAGAGAGACCGCAGGTTTCTCTCTTCAGTTTTCTCTCTTCACAATATTCCCATACGCATTTGATATTTTTAACAGAGGTAGTCTAGTCCCCGATGTTAAGGAGCTGCATCAGAATCCGGTCAAAACCCCACTCTCTATAATTAGCCAGGGGTTATTGGGTTTCAAACGGAAAAGATTCCCCTTTATTCAACGAAGGTGCATGGCGCCCATGGTGTGCACCTGAGTTAAACCTGATCACCGGGGCTCCATTCCAGAAACATACACCCCAACAATGCCAAAAAAAAAAAAAAAAGCTGTTAAGGTTGCGATGCATTTTGTGGATTAATGTGATGTCAGATGCATAAACCTTTTGTTAGTTCAGCTGCGGTTATTGATATTAGTTTTGACAAGATGGAATAGAATAGTATTTGCCGTCGGCCATGGCTATTTGGGTAATATCAATGACTCTTCGGTTCTCCTGGCGCTCAATTGAGTTCATTTTCTATCAATGCTGGGATGGGATGATTCAAGTCTGGAAAGGCAACAGGCGATGAGTAAGTTTATCAAAAATGCAGCCCTCACTGAAGAGGGGGATGGGAGAAAAAAGAAAGGTAATTAGTTATCAACGGACATTGGTATGAACTATTAAATAGTTGCGTTAGTTACGGAAAATGAAGTTTCTGATAGCTTATGTAAGCCACCGAGGATGGATATTGACTATATCCAGGGCGAATAAAAAATAGTGGACTGTCTGGGAATCGAACCCAGGACCACCCCCATGCTAAGGGGGTATTATACCACTAAACCAACAGCCCGGCGACTTATGTGTCGAGGAACAGCTTTGAGGTGAATTAACCGTGTGTCTCTTGTTAGCATTGTCTTCAGCAACTTAACTGTTAAAGTTCATTTCAACAGCCAGTTACCATTGTCCGATCCATATTTTCCCAAGCACAGTTACAAGTCGCAAAAAATCCCGGGCGGCAAAAAAAGGTCAAAATGATGAGAGACGAAGACCCCAAGGAGCAAATATAACAAAACTAAATTCCAATTGCTATTGCTACTGAAAATGTTCGTAAATATCGGCAGTGTAACAAACAACATGGAGCAAACTGGATAAGCGCTGTAATGGTAAGGAACTACGGGGATACTGTAGAGCTTGAATGAAAAGCTTTAGGACAAAACTATTGAGCAATTTATCATGGATGTCGCTTGAATGGTAAGGGTCGAGAGGGATGCTGTAAAAGGGGGGGATTGAAAAGCAGTGGGGCAAAGATTTCGAAATTGTGCAATCACAAGCGCCCTGGTAAATACCCTAAATAACAAAACTTAGGGGGAGGGGATTATTTATCATCGCTATGGAAAATTAAAGGGGAAACGGGGAAAATTTTCGGGTTGCAGAGTAGTTGTCAGTTTTCAAAGACATTAAAAAAGGGTATCAACGTAAGCTAAAGCAAAGTCAGGCATCAATAAACTCTCCCGTTCGGTTGGTCAACAGCAGAGCCACAACAAAAACACTTTTCGAAACGACAAAGTAACCAAAGACAACAAAGCCAGAGGTGCTAAACCGTTGGGTGTTATTAAACCTGGGAAAATCCAGAGTAGGAAGTTATCCAAAACAGTCCCATTAACCCGGCATAACCTCCGGTATTTCAGACGCCATCAAATCACCCCAATGGTCGCAAAATACCGATCGAACATCAGAGGTGGAAACCCGCCAATCGTGGTTAAGGTTGGGAAAATGGAGGGCAGGAAGCTCTCCGAAGGGTCTCGTTCCTCGGCATGATCTCCATTACTTCTGGCACTTCAATCCCTACCCAAGTTTTGACGATCGTCAGAGCAGTATCTGGGCTGCCGGTGACGGTGATAACCTCTTCGCGCCAACCGATTGGATCGGTTTCCAACACCACCAGTTCAGGCTGGTCGTTCTTGCTTATGATAGCCCTCACAATGCGAATTCGTCGTCTCTCACGCTCAAAAACGATGTCCTCAGCAACATTCATTGTCAGAACACCTTTGACCCTCATGGCATTGAACAACTTCTTCAAAACCTTGAAGGGAAGGGTCAAAAATATCGCTGACAGGATCTTCTCCTCAGTGCTAAACAAGTAGTCGTTGGCCTCAGCAAAACTCCCAAACATCACTGCAGAAACTTCCCTGACACCGAACTTGGAAAGTGAAGCACCTGCAAATCTCTCCGGCAACTCGCTGGAATGTGCGTGAAAGTCAAGTTGAAACTCATTGGGGAAGTTTCCAACAATGAAAGCAAACGCCTCATCAACAAGCTGGCGGGCACAAACATCCTTGAGTTCCTGGTTTAGGCTATAAGATGGCTTATAGGCGTCGTCTGTCATGTTGGCATCCGTCATTGCGCTCTCTTCGTTGATATTTGGTAGAGGGGTAGTCCCACGGGAGAGAGCGGTGCCGATATACACCGATCGCTGTTCAGCCTCGACGCCAGTGCCTGGTGTAATCATAAAATGGGATACGGCAGTTCCGAAATGCAGAATGACTTCCAAATTATCCCAACAGATTTCATTTTTGGCGAGACGCATACCACGGCGAAGTATTTTGCTCTCTGCCAAAAAAGCAGCCGATGCAATGTAGCATAGAGCAATATTCATTTTTTCGACGCCGGCGGAGTTGAGATCACGGCGATGGTATCCAACAGAAACCATGAGATTGTTATCGAGGCGATCCGGCCCCAACAACATGGTTCCGTACAAATGCTGCAGTGCTTTGGCAAGCGCAAAGGGGTGCATGAAGCAACCGGCAGCAAAGACATGTATCTCTCTCTGATTCACACCAACAGTCGCGACTTTCATAAGCTCCTTCAGGTGTGGGCTCCTTGCGGCAATCATTGAGTGAAGAGGAAAAGACACGGGCAACCCATCTCCGGCGGAGAAATTCAGTACCAGGCAAAAATCCGCATATTTGCCAGATTTGAATGTTTCGATAATGTAGCTTGAGACTGGCTCTAATTCTTCGCGGGAAACCTGGGCGATATGGTTAGGTCCAGGATGAACAATTGCTCGAGAAACCGGCCACTGGTGTTCTTGCTCGCTTCCTCTCTGTCTATTGGGCGCGAAGTTGCTGTTCTCGTAACGATTGCGGTTCTCGTCGACAACGGGCCCGTTGGAATGCGCAATGGGTTGATATGCCGCCACCATAGGTATATACGCTGGAATAAGCGGATAATATCCATAGTTAGGGTACGGATAATAGGCCGCGGGGTTCTGTGAATGTCTGTATTCATCATCCAATCTTGGAGCCGGTGCATCCAGTGGCATGTTTGTACCTTGCCAACTCAGGTGAGGCTGGCGCTGGGGAGGTTCATAATGTGGTGAAAACGGCGCTCTCTGTTGTGGCTGTTCGTGATAGCCTGCGGATGGCCTAGAAGTGGCGGAAGGAGCAGAACCGGAGTTGGTGCCCCCAAAATATATCCCATGACTTTCAAATCCATAAGTTTCAAAATCGTCGGTGTGGGGCATTGATCCAGCTGGAGATGCCATTTCATTTTCACCCATTGCCGTAGGCATGTTTGCGAGGCCGGACCCGCCTGTGCCAAAAGACCCCGGAAGCTGATTTAGATTGTTGGATTCAAAACCGCCCGGTTCAGGCATATACTCTAGAATTGAATTTTTTTTTTGTTAGTCATTGGAACCTGCCGATGAGCACGCATTGTGTTAGAGCCAGCTCCCCAATATTGATATAAACATACCAGCATTACCAGTTCCATGGATGGCGAAACCTCTCTGCATCATCGCATGCCATTGAACCGTGGAAAATGAGTTGATATTACGGACTATGAAAGGCACATGGTTGTTCCCCTGAGGCTGCGGGCGGCTAAGGTCGATGAGAGCACTAGCGGCTATATCCCTATCATTCACCTCCATAGAGACTTCTAACTCCTCCATTGACTTCCTTTTTTCGGCCTCTTTCTTCTTGGTCTTCCTTTTTTTCCTATATTCCTTACCTTTCTTCCTTCCACGTCCTGGTTTCCTGGCTGATTTTTCAGTATCAGTCTGGGCTGGATTCCCAACTATTGCCACAGTTTCGATGACAGGAATCCCAGGCTGCTCAGAGTTCATATCGAAAACAGGACCAAATTTGAACGAACGTCGTGGTAGCAGCCCAATGGGCTCTCCATCCGACTCACGTTCTATATCCCTTTGTCAATGGGCGCCTCGCAATGCGACCAGAGAAAGCAAAGCCACTGATAGGAGGGAACAGTACCAGTTGGAGAATCCTGGACGATTTCGAAATGAAAGAGAAAGTAAAGTTCCACTCACCAGCTCTCTGCTGTACCTAATGAGCTGCAAGATTGAATGGAATAAGGTATAAGAGGAGAACTATGCCTCTTCCAAAAGAACCACGAGAATGAAATAAGGAGTGAAGCCTACAGAAAAAAAGCTGTAGGGGCTATTTCAAAAGAGAGGAGGAAACACAAAATGTCTAACCCAATCCAACGAAACAGAATAAGACGAAAAGACGCTGAAAAGATTCCAATTCTTGACGGATGTAGTTTATCCTTGTAGAAGGTGGTTCTTGTAGTGTGTGTGTGTGTGTAGAAGAGAAAGAAAAGAAGGAAGAAGAGAAGCTGTCATGAGGTTGTGTTTCTTTGCTTGCAGTCAGATGTGTTGTTGTGTTGTGTTGTGTTGTCGATCTGGACGTGTCTCCCAGGGGATATGCCCAAATGGGATGCACAGGCCTGGCCCCAAGCGACACAGATGTTCCGCCGTTGTCCTAGATCGTATATTGTATATTGATATGTATTGGAATGGAGAAGCGTAATATCAAAGTCCAGAATCAGAGGAAGCGAAGGCAGATCATGTTGTTATAGGTAAGGAAAGAAATCAAAGATGACAAGGGCCGGTTCACTCGCCTCCTTGCTTGGCTCGGTTGGATATTCGAGGATTTTGAGTTCGCCAATAACGTCTAGAAGCTAGAAGTGTATGCCGAAACGCAATAAAAATGGATATGGAAGACAAAAGCAGAATGGATGGTAACTGATATCCACAGATAAAGGGGGATCATTGTGAATTCACCATGAAGGAGGTACGGGACCGGTCAATATTAACAGCATAAACTCATCTATTCGTCAAATACACATGTATATGTGGATAGGTGAAGGAAATTGTGCCTGGACGTCAATGTCTTTCACCAGTCATGCTGCTTCGCCTCTCTTTCACTCTCGATTTAAAAAAAAAAATGAAAATAAAAATGAAAATATAAAACGAAAGATTTGCATTATCTTCTTCATTTTATCGAGATCGGGGCCTGGTTGGCACATGGGAGCTTGAAAAGGTATATCAAAAACAGACACGCAAAAAAAAAGGGGAATCCAGGGGCTAGATTGAGGGTTGTATGTGCTTCACATGCATAGGTCCATACATACATCTATATAACAACATACACATCAATTGGGTAGTATAACTTGCAAACAAAAGGGAGGTGTTAAAGTCACATGCATGAACCAATTGCAGGTATTTTTGCTCTTTTAAAATAACAAGAACAAAGCCAAATATCATACAGCGAAACCAAAGGGTGTAAGATGGCACATTGGAAACAGCAAAAAAAAAGGGAGTAATTGTTCAGTATTGTACGCAAGCTGGAAAGAAGAAAACAAATAAAATGGAGTATCCAGAGGGTCCATGGCCCCCCAAAAAATCATGCCATCAATACAACAGGTGGAAATGAAGAAGGAAAGTTGAAAAAAAAAAAAAAAAGAAACAGAAAGATAAAAGAAACAAAGAAACGCCTGTACACTCGGCACGTGCTTGGTAGCTTAAAAAAAAGAAAAAAGAAAAAAAGAGGGGGAAAAATCGGCCCAACAAAGGGGAAACAAAAATCTTCTTAAGAGTGCAAAGGGCCTGGAAAAAGAAGAAGTTAAAAAGAAATAAAAATCACGGATAATGATATCAAAACATGGCTCCCTCCATAGGTACCTTCCTAGGATATTGCGGCAACGCCGGCGAGCTAGAATTCATCAACTGCTGTCTCGCCTTGGCATTCAGATTGCCACCCTCACTCGATATCTTCCGGAGCCTCTGCCGTGGCCGGGGTGGCCTCTTCTCTTCATCTGAAAATATGCTCTGTTCGATGTTGGGCGTTGTCGGATTCGAATACGGCATTGGCGACTGGTCATGCCTATGGTAATCAGAGCCCTTAAACGCGCTGAGGAATGTCTGTGTTGTTGTCTGCCGTCTTCTACGCGGGTTCATGGGTGGAATTGGTGGGGTTGTGGAGCCGTTGCTTAGGCTTGCGCCTGGGGGTAGACCGACTGTGGGTACATTGGAAGTGGAGGAGACGAATTTTGGTTCAGAGATTATAGATTTGTCAATGATCCTTCTGTGTGCATTAAGCCCTTGGATTCGTGGGCTGTTGAGATTACTCATGGGAGGGACGAGGGTTGGCGTGGGCATGGACGATAGGTTCGGTGATGTTTCGTATAGGGGGGGTGTGGTGTTGGCGGAGTAAGGGGTTACTGGAGATGGTCGTGGGGGATTACCGATAAAATTGGCTTGGTTAATTTGAACAGGCATTGGTGGGGTTGGGTCGAAGTGGCTTTGCACGGCTGAGCGGCTATTGCTCCGGAACCTGCCAGAGGCTACAAACGCAGCTCGCTCTGAAGACATATGATCAACGACCTCTTCGGAGGGTCGGGATGAAGAAGGAACGGATGTTGGCACCCATGGAGACTTGGATTCTTCGGCTGTAAAATCGTTTTGGATGGAGCAATTTTCACCTACAGATCCCAGATCATCACGATATCGAGGTTGGCTTTTCGAGCGGCCTGAAACGTCTGAACCGGATCGACCTCTACGCGAGCTCGCATGCGATGAAGGAGATGGTTCGCCATGGAAAGACTCCCCGGAACCGTCTTGGCTCCCTCTCTGCATCGTAGATACCTGCGGCTGCCGGGGTCGAGCGTGATTACGAGACCCAAAAAGGGGGGAGCCTGAACGAGACTCTCTCCCACGGTCACGGAATCTATCCTCATCGTCCCGGATTGTTTCGTTTAAAGGAAGGCTTGGCGAAGATACGCTGTGAGCATTGTCCACACCAAGCATTTTCATAGCTTTGGTCTGGGGTACATCGTGTCGACCAGCCATGGGATTTCTGCCAGTCTTGTTCTTCAGCATCGAAAATGCATTACCGTGTTTGTGAATTGATGAGCCGTAATCTGGGAAACGGTGGCCAAGCGTCGGGCTACTTGACCCGCTTTCGCTCTCCACAAAGCTTTTTAATTTTTCCCGTACCTTTCGTCGCCGTTCAGCGAGCTCGTTGGCAAGTTCTTCCCGCTCCTTCTGTGTATCCGAGCTGCCATCCCTTTGGTGACCGTGTTTGGGCCCATCTTGCCATGGCAGACTCTTAGAAGATGATTCTGTGGGCGATTTTATGCGCATGTCACCCAAACCATGTCTGTCCGGCTTCTGTTGTGGTGAGCTATGTCCCTGACTTCGCAGAGCAGTTGCTTGCCCAAGAATTTGCTTCGCTCTCATAGACATAGACGACAAATCTGGAAGTCCGGGTTCATTAGCGGCTTTCTTCTCCGGACTTTCAGGTTTGCACAGGTCGTCATATTCCCAGGGGTTACTGTGCACGCTGGAAGCATGGTTGGCGTCTCTGGCCGCTCGAGCAAAGGGATTAACTTCCCGAGTGGCTTCCAGAATATTAAGAGGAAGGCCCGGGGAAGGCGGACAGTTCATTGAGGTGTCACTATCATGGCGAAGATGGGTGCGAACCAGTCCGCTCAAACCCAGCCCAGATGGACCAAGTGTAGGGGAATCAGGGGTTTCGCCGATAGGCTCCTCCAGGCTTTCATTCTCGTCTATAGTATTAAGGTCACGGGTTTCGGAATATCGTAGTTCCGGAGTATCGCAGTGAGAACCTTTGGTACGTGAACTTTGGGTGTTCGAGTCAGTGCTAGATCTGACCGCTGGATGTATGTTATCATTATCAAAGGATTGGACAGCTTCAAGTACGTTGTTCAGTGACGGCTCTGCTCCATCCTCGCCTCCACGATCACTTCCGCTTGGGAATGTGCCCTTGATCAGTCGTGGAGGCGATGGTTTGCGGTTACTGCTTGCGGGAGTAGTGGATATCTCCCTGGTGCGTTCACCCTCATCTTGGGGGCCATTGAACTGTGATACTAGGGAATCAACTTTTGAACGGTAGCTGGCATTGGAAACTTGGCGCGAACGTCCAGTGGTCTCCAAATCAGGCACACGGGGTGGTGGCTGTGATGGTGGGGAACAGCGGCGCAATGTGGGGGTGTCTCTGCCCCCATACATTTGAAGTTGCCGCTGCGAGAATTTAATTTCGTCATATTGGGCAGCTGGCTTATTGAACAGTCCCATACCCGTGGCCTTTCCGCGGTCCTCAGGATGAAGAGCGGCCTCTAACGACGTTTGTTCCTCTGATTCGCTAAGTGGGGGGCTCAATGGGGGTAAGCTGGCAAAACCCAGATTTGCAATGGCAGGATTCTCTGGCTCATGTTTTCTGGCAGAATCACCTGGTTTCATAATGGGTTTGGAAGCATATGGGGATGGGCTTGTAGGGCCGGAAGCTAAAGAAGCGTACACTGGAGGCCGGTGTTGAAATTTATCATTTAAAACCGATGAGCTCTTTGACAAAGATCGGCTTATTGGTGAATTGTCATTGGCAGGAGCTCTCTGGCGGCTGAGGCTTTCAAGTCTTGTAAAGGCGGAGGATTGTTGGGTGTTGACCTCAATGCCTTGCCCGTACCGTCGAGTCTTGGTTGGATTACATTCGACTCCCGTTGTTGTTGTTGATGATATGGGGTTAGGGGGCACCTTGGACTTGGGCGGCGGAGAGGCAATCGTCCCTTGACCAGAGTTGCGACGAGCAGAATCAACCGATGTGTTCGAAGTGGATGTGCGATTTCCTGATGGCAGTGAGGCTAACGAGCCGTCCTCTTCCGTATCCTGCTTGGTCTGCTGGATATCCAACTCAAGCTCCGACAGCTGTTCCTTCTCCTTCGCCCTCAGCTTCTGGAAAGCAGATAATGTGACATCGTTTTCATAGACCTGTTTCCCTCCCATTCCACCCCCAACCCCTGAAGCTT